ATCTATTCTATGATTCTATGATTCTATGAGTGGCAGAGAGGAACTGTTAGGGACTGACCATGACTCCCCATTCCCCCTGCACTACCTGGGAAGGGGCAGCAGGCAGCAGAGAATTTTGGAACAAAGGAGTGAAATTGAGCCTGGGAAAAGGGGAGGGCAGGAAAAGGTGGTGTTTCAAATTTTGTCTTTGTTTTTTCACTGTCCAAATTATTTTAACTGGCAATAAACTAAAATAATTTCCTTAAGTCAAATCTTTTTTGCCCAGGATGGTAGCTGGTAAGCAATCCCCTTGTCTTCATCTTCATCCACAAGATTTTTCATCCTGTTTTCTCCCCCTGTCCTGTTGAGGAAGGGGAGTGAGTGAGCAGCTGGGAGGGAGTTTGGCCCTTACCCAAGGTTAATCCACCACAGGCTCCTAGACGTCCTGTAACATAGTTACAGCTGGATGTAGAAAACCCTGCTGGAAGCTTGGGTCCAGGATGTGGGAAAGGGGTACAGCTGGACAGAGCTGGACAAAGCTAGTAGTCATTTCACTGAAACCTGAATTGCAAAGATTATTTATGAAAGCTGGGATGATGGACAAAGTGTTATGCTCCAAAGGGTGGATGTTAGAGTGAAGTGGCTAACGATATATATTAAGATAGAGATTCACTATCTTATTTCCCAGCACTTAATCTCCTCCAAACTTAAAGAGGGGTAAAGATCTCTTTGGACAGAGTTCAGAGATCCACCAGTGTCCTGGTTTTTAGGCAGAACAGACTAGCACAACCAGTTAAAGTGAATTCAGTCTTTTGTAAGGACTGGAAACGAGACTGTGAAGGATGCTAAAATGAGATCATGACTTTGAAAAGGTAAAATATCTTTAAATGTAAAGGCCATATGCATTGTAAAAGTGTTAGTCTCTCACCTTTAAAGAAACACAAATCACGTTCAACGCTTCCTTGATCTGAGGATGATGTGATTCATGAACTAGCTCCTCACAGATCCAAATACCAAGGCTGCAAAGAGCAACACATCTGCAAAACAATGTTGGAGGACAAGTTGTTGAGAAACATGTTAGTATTTATGATATGTCTTGCCAAAATCTAATAAATATGTTTTTAATATTTTGAAAAGAATGACACAAAAACCTTTAAATGCTGTAACTTATTTAAAATGAGAATGAAATCCAAAGTATCCTGGTGAAGGCACAGGAAAGGACAGAGGAAGCACCCTTGTGAGCAACTGAAAAAATCGAAAAGACATCAAGAACTCCTGCATCTCTAAGTGCTTTTCAGATTAAAATTACTACCTGAAATACATGTATGGGAAATTTTATATATATTTTCTTATGACAAAGTAAAAATTGTGGTGGGAGATTCCTCCTCCCCAACATGAGAGTTTGTTCATATTTGTTTAGAGCTTCTGGGGCAGAGAGACAAGAGAGGGCAATGTTATTCATTCATAGATATTTACATTTTTTTTTAGATTGACAATAAACAAGGATGGATAGAGGAGGGGTAAATGAATGCTAGAGATAGTGTACATATTGTGATTAAATACATCAGCTTTTGTTGTTTCTTCATTTAAAATCAGGAAATAGAAGAGAAGTGTAAAGGTAAAGAGTATTTAGATAGATGTGTTCAGATCAGCAGAGATGGATGAAACTTGTTCAGAAATGTTAAGAAGCTAGCTTAAGCAATCTCAGGATCACTAGTAATTATTTTCAAGAACACAGGCTGCAAATATTTTGCAAACAACTTCATAAATCAAAAACCTCTGGATAAAATTGGAGAACAATCCAAAATTGACAAGAAGAAAGCTGGTCATGGGAACTGCAAAGCACTACATCTGAGAAGGAAAAAATCATACAGTACAACAGAAACAGAAGTGGCTATGAAGCTGGTGATGTAAAAAAAGGATTTTAAGGCTACACAGAATCATGAAACCGCTAACAGGTCACAAAAATACATCCTGGAATGAATTCTATGTGATAGTGTAAATACAATGCCAAACCACCCTGTTTTGTACACTGTCGCCGAAATCTCAATTGCAACACTGCCTCCATTACATCTTGATTAATACAATTTAAGAATAAGGGCAATCTTGAGGGACTTCAGCAGAAAAGTCACAAAAATAATAAGCTTTGGGAAATATTACATAAGGAGGAAAAGTTGAAGGGCATACTTAGTCTAGATCACAATTAAGAAAGGAAATTATAAGAAAATTTCTGACATGCAGTAATTCACTGAAGAGTTTAATTTCTAGTAGAAAAGATTTCTCCTATATACTGGTCATAAAAACAATTTGACTGTAAAAATTAAATAACTACCGGAACAGCCTAAGACTTTTGTAACTTTTTTCTTTGAGAAAATTTTTGTGATTATTTAGGCAAGCTACTGCCAGGAATGTTTTAAACACACTCCAGCCTTGGAGGAGGAAGAGCTTACAGAAGTGCTGTTGGTCCCTTTCCAATCTATACTTCTGCTATTTCTACAGTATGTGTTTCAATCCTTTTTGAACAAAAGAAAATAAGAACATCATAGCATGGATTTAAGAATAAATGTAGACAGTTTGTGTAAGCTGACTCAAGAAAATAGGTCTTTAATATATAGAAGAAGACAACTCCAAGTCCGTGTTACTATTAAAAGTTTTCTTAATGCTACTAAGATCCATTCCACATCTGACATACTGGTGTGCAAAATATCCAGGAGTCTGTGAGGTTTCTACCAAGAACACCAGTATCATTACTATTATTCAGAACAGTCTCTGAAAAACTGTTAGTTATGTGGCTACAATGTTGTTAGTTAAGAATCACAGCCCTAACAGCACAAGCAGAAGAAGAGATGAACACCAAGTTCATCAACATATCACTTCATTTTCAGACTGCCAGCAGCAGGAGATGAATTTGATTAATACAGTTATTAATCTTTATAGATGGAGATCTGACTGTAGAATATATTTCAGATAACTGACTTCCCTGAAGCTTAGTTGGGTCAAGTATGTAATGAAACGTAAAACATTGAGGCTCTGTGGAAGAGATAAGGAATAGAGATTTATAGCTTGGCTAACAATAACAGAACTCAGACTTGCTAGAGATACACAAAGCTATGTATCTAAGTTCCAAGAAATCTAAGTTCTCTCCTAGGAAACTGCACAGACAATTAAGCCTCTATAAATGTCTGAGGTGTCAAAATCATAATGCAGATCCTAAATATGACCTCTGATAGTAACTCAGGTAAAGTCTGTACTGCTGTGAAGCAGATGGTGTCAGAGAATTTATTACCAAAAAAGACAGTGGATAAACTGCCACTGAAGAGTAAGGCAGTCAAGCTTCAGGAGCTGTGGGAACATTATTATGCCCACAAGGAAGACATACCCTTCTGTCTCCCTGAAGAAGAGGGACACAGGTAACCCAAAGAGACATAGGGAATCTATTCCTTTTTAACCTTGATTTAATGTTATTACACACAGTCGTCCAACTTTGCATTTTGGGGCAGCATAACTCAGCTTTCTGAAAGGCTGGGCATGCACATGTGCCTCTGCTCATTTATACACATTCTCACAGCCAGACAAGATATGGGTACATACAGGATGTCCCCCTCCTCTTCCCAACCAGAACTGAAGATGCTAATACTGTCTGCTTCAGTGCCACAGGATCAGTAATAATATTTTGAACCAACTGGATTTAAATCACCTTTTTCAAAAGTAAAATGGAGAGTGTTTTGCTTTTTAGAATGCAGTTTTGTAAAAGAACATGAAAAATGAAATGAAAATTATCTCAGAACATGCCTTCCCTTCCCTGTGTTGAGAGATGTTACCAGCTCAAGTGAAGAACAGGTTAAGTGGGCTGATGAAAACTGCTCCTGGTTTTCCAGCAAAACGTTTTAAGGTTCAATGAACTGATATTTCCAGTAGCATTTTTCAAGCATGTAGTTCTAATATTTTGCATTTATTAAGCAAAAATATATTAGTTGACCATATATAAACACTCCACCCAAATAAATAAGGCACACAAGTGTGCTCTTCCTTGGTAGTCATTACAGATTCTGGTTCCAATCCCATTATGCAAGACTGTCGCTAAAAGTCTCTGGGAATTGGTAAGGAGGAACAAAATCCCAAGTAAATTAAGAGACAGAAAAGAAAACTGGTAACTATCCTCTCTGAAGTTCTCTATTTGGTGAAGACGCTTAGGTTTAAGCATCAGGGCAATCCTTCCCACTTTAATGCTTAGCTCAGTATTTTCTGCTTCTTTTCCACACCATAAAGAAGGGCTCACGTACCTTGGATTATTTGTCTCTCAAATTAAATCATGTGGTCTAATAAAAAATAACCATATCTTCCTCATAAATAATGTTATCCTTAATCAAAGTAAAAAATGCTTCTCTAGTACAGAAAATCCCTGGGCTCAACACCAGGGTAAGCTGGGAAAGCATACAGCTTATACTTTTGGGGCCTATAAGAAAGACGGAGACAGACTTTAGAGCAGGTCCTGTAGCAAAAGGAGAAAGAGTGATGGTTTTAAACTAAAAGAGGGGAGATTCAGACTAGATACAAGGAAAAAAAAAAAATTATAATGCAGGTGGTGAAACCCTGGCACAAGTTGGCCAGAGAGGTGGTAGAAGCCCCATCCCTGGAAACATTCAAGGTCAGGTTGGACGGGGCTCTGAGCACCCTGATCTGGTTGAAGATGTCCCTGCTCACTGCAGGGGGCTGGACTAGATGCCCTTGCAAGATCCCTTCCAACCCAAACCATTCTGTGATTTTATGATTCTTACTCATGTTTATAACCTTTCCTATCAGCCACTATCAGAGAAAGGATACTGGGTTAGACCAGCATTTGGTCTGACAGAAGATGTCTTTTAACATTTCTATTTACAAACAACTTTGAATTCACACAGTGGACCACACTGAAGAAAACCATTAATAAAATACATATAAACTTTTACATCAAGCTGTCTATATATCTACCCCAAAACAGTAAAATAAAGTAATGAATCTATTACTTTAGAAGCTCTTTTTGTATGACCTACCGTGCAGGACCAGATGGCTCCTCTCTTGCTGAACTTAATACAGTTTTAATTATGAGTTCCTAAAAAAATAAAGAGGAAAATATTCACTGATTTACCAATAACTCTACCACGTGGAGCATCAGAAAATTAGAATTTTGTATTAAATAAAGTCATGTTGCTTAGCTGAGTCTCTAGGTCTGTGGCAAGATGAATTGTTTGCTTACAACTTCTCCAAGCTTCTAGTCTGCCCCAGCTGCTCATTATTGTGCTACCTCAAGAATATCCCACAGGTTACTGTTCTAATTTCTGCTGATTAACCATTTATCCAATTCTTACCAATATATTTCCATAAAATATCAAGGGTAAAAAACAAAACAAAACAAAAACCCCAAAACAAAACAAGGGACTCCCTAAAGCTATCTTCTGTGAATAGTGCTGAAGGGTATTACAGAAAGAATCTATTACTTTGAGGTTTAAACAAGGATTTTTTCAAAATTATATTGATTTAAAAGTCTATGGAAGTAGTTGCAGAATAAGTGACTAACAGTGCCTTCAGAATGATGTCAAGAAGAATTTTGACCCAGCTGCAGTGAAACGTCCCTAAAGCTGCAGGTTGCTCCCAATAAAGCTCAAGTAAACAGTCATTATACAATAGAAATGAGAAATTCAAAATCAGTCCCCAAAAGGGAGCAAGGTATAAAGGAGCTTCTAAGTCATCATCTCTCTCTAAATTGAAATAGTTTAGAACCTAATGGGGAGCTTCTCTTAGACATAGTAATCATACCTGACACACGTACAGCAATTAAACACGCAAACTGAGCTCTGCCCAGTTTCAGTATACTGGCACACTACTCAACTCTGTGTTATGATAGAGAGGGAAAGGTCTCCATTAATCCTTGTTTTTTTGTCTAAAATAACATACTGATGTATAGAGGTTTTCTAAAGCTCCTAGGAACACAGGCAGATTTCACCAGTTGTGAATTCTCAATAAATTAAATAATGTATCTTGAACCTCTCAATCTTCTCATCTCAGCTGATTAAAGCTGCGAGGTCTGCAAATAGCCCTACTAAGAGTAGGCTTGAAAAGGTGAGATAACACATAATTTCCTTTTAAAAACATACAAAACCACTTCATGATTAAGTTAACAGCAATTATAAAGTATGTTTAATAGCATGAAGTCTGACAAGATTTTATGGGAACTTAAGCCTTATAATCCATTTGAAAATATTTCTGAAAAATTGTAGAATCTTAAGATTTTAGTTATCATTTCCTGGAAAAATATAATATGAAACATACTTTGTAGCTGAATATCATCCAAATATTCTTAAAATTCCTACCTTAACATCTGTAAACTGAGACACAGCAATGTCAGGAATGTTTGGGTGAAGAGCTGGTAGCTCATGATATAAATTGGGAAAACAGACTAGAGATCCTAAAAGAACTTGTGCTTCCACTCTTGGTGCCTAAAAGAAAAAAATGTGGGGAGAAATATATATTTTTACTGCAATCGGGAAGCTGACATTTCTAGCTGCCTTCAAAGAGAACAATGGCTGAAACTCTACACAGCTATTTCCTTTCCCCTTCTGCAAATCATGCAGAGCTGAGCAAACTGAGACCACAGCCCCACAGATTGCAACTCATGCACACCCCATGTTCCCATTTTCCAAGACAGTCAAAAGGGAGCAGAGAAATTGTCAGGACTACAGACAAATGACCGAGCTGCTAACTAGGCTCAGGTCTTAGGTTCAGCTAATTGAACAGCATTTGCAGAACTACTGGATGTGACAGGTTATAGTGTAAGAAGCTGACAGAGGCTTCAGCTAGCACCTTGAGGGATGTGGATTTCACAGTAGGTTAAAGGGGGAATGATGTGAGAGACTGTCAGAACTCACAGACAATTGGAGGGGCACATTGGAGAGCTTTGAGAGAGTACAGTCATGCAAGGCCAACAGCACCGAGGTAATCATATCAGTATTACTATATAAGGCTGAAGTTGCCTGGGTAACAATTTCAAAAATACATCCAAATAGTGCAAACACTAGCAGGTTTGAGTTCTCAAGCCTGATCAAAGTCATTGCATAGCAGAGATATGGGGGAATAAATATACTTTTAAAATTAAGGTACAGTTAAAATGGACATTTACTTTAAAACATTTTAAAATGCAGATAAATGGCAGTCACAATTCCCAGAACTTTAAAGTAAAAGAAGATAACTTTGCTTCAACAGTAATTTTTGCATTCTTCACATTTTCTGTAGAGAACTTGCATGTGTCGTGTTCTAGAATAAACCACTGACAGTATCTGTATTTGCTAACCTTCACACTGACTTCTGGGGACAAGTTAACATCCTAGCCAATGAAAAATACTGCTCAGTTTTCTCTCTCAAACCCTTTCCACTCACACATAAACGAGAACCGATGAATACTTACATTGAGGAAAGAAGAAGCAGCCACTCTTCCTGCTGCTACAATGAAATCCATAATAAGCATGGTGGCACCAGGCAAACCAAGTGAAAAGAACTGAGGAGAGCAGTGCTTGATGATTGTATTGACAATATCCTTGCAGGAGGAAAAAAAAAAACCAAAACAAAACAACAACACGGAAAAGAAGAGTATCAACAAGATGAACAATGCATGAAAAAAGGGAGGTAAAAGGTAGAAAGTAAAAAAAGCAAGAAAGCAAATTCACTTTGGCAATTAAGACACCCGTTATGAGGGAAGAGTAGCATAAAAAGATACATTAATATGAGTATACTTAAGGAATTTAAGTGAACTGTGGTATACTTTATAGATCAATTTAACTTTGGACACTATTGTATGATGTTGGTACCAGGTCAAATCTTATATTCATTTCCATTTAGCTTTTAAAAGTTCTATAAATGATTTACCATTCATTTAAATATGTACAGAAGAGAGATAGTGAGATAACCAGCTATTATACCTTCTTCACAACATGCTTAAATCCTCTCCAACAAGTATCACCTGACTATAACTTTTAAAAAAGGTATCAGCCTCTTACATATATCAGTATGGAAGCAAAATATAAACAATGAATTATAATAAGGTGTTTTATAACATTTCTGGTATATAGTTATCCAAGGAAGCATACTACATTCTTGTAGACTTAGTGAGGCAGTTTTTAATGTACATGATGCAATTTCTTCTAAGTATTGAGAAAAGTATAAAATGTTTTAATTATTAAATAAATTTCCAAATTCACAGACAGGCAAAAAACCTTCGAATAATTCTCCAATAGTAATGATATCCAACTAAATGGCAATATGTTACAGGAAGATTTGCAATCCATCAAGAAAAGCAGTGTAAACTGGGTTTTAGAGGACAGGAACTGGAGATCTGTCCTACCCATAGCCATCTGTGGAATTTTGGACTAGTTCTGTTTTGCCCGGTTAATAAAAACAGGATTGCCTGAATCTTCCATCTCCCTTTGCCTCTAACTGCTCCTCAAAAAAGTTCACAAACCCAACTTTTTCACACTTCTGATGCAAGCCTTTAAAAAGTGTTTAAGCCATACAACATTTTCATACTTGTTCATATTAAAACCTATGAAAAAGATCTACTCTCACTGATTAGATACACTCAGTATGTCTCAGTTTGCTGCTTCCTGTACGTGCTGTAGAAATAAATGACTCCAATGTAGTGAGCACAATTTACTTCCCCACTAGCTAAATGGTTGCATCAGGGAGCAAGAACAACAGTAGACCTTAGAGAGATCTGCTTCCTTCTCTTTCTTGCATGTTTCAACCTGTAACATGCAACCAGTAAAAAAAAAAAAAAAAAAAAAAAAAGAGTACCCTTTTTACCCTCATGTTTGCTTGAAACTGACCACAAAAATCCCATTTCTCATTACAACCAAGAACATGAGGAACATTTATCAAAGTTTAGAAAAAGACACAACCATTTTCAAAGACAAAGTTAAATAATTAAGCTGAAAATACTTTCAGTATTTTTGATAAAACAATTTTATTTTCAGTTATACTATTTATATTAACATAAAATTCATAATTAAACTTACTTGATCAACATGAAGAAGTCCACAGTGCATTATATTGTAGAAATGAGTTAAAAAATCCCTGTTTGGAGAAACATCTTGTCTTCGCTTCATTGTCTTACAAATGAGTTTATAAGCATGTAGCTTTCCTTGTTTGTATTTATCAGTCAGCATTGTTGCCTACAGTTTTAGAACAATATTTATTATTCATAAAACAAAAAATTATGTTAAATACTTCTCTACAACTACAGGAACTTATATTTCTGTTTCACTGCTTAGTGCTCAAATTTACCTTGAACAGCCATGGTGTTAGAATTCTCAGTGGTGGAATTAAAACTGGTGGAGATGGTGAAGTTAGGTTATCTGTTGAAATACCAAGATTGTCTCTTATCTGCAGTTATTAAAAACAAACGAACAAAGATAAATATTTAAGTATATAAGGCGGAGTTTTTTTCCTTTCTGAAAATCCTGCCTTACTTGGTCAGGCTGGAGAAGAGGTTCAGCTCTTTTACCTTGGCCAGATTCTGCCACAGTTCACATAGGTAATCAAAAACTTGAGCATGAATCTCTGGATCCATGATGCTGTTGACATCTCCCAAAATTCCTAGCATTCGCCTCCACATCACGGTAGCAACATCTGCATGCCATCCTGTAAGTGTTCCCCCAGCCATCACGCTGCAACATTCTGAGGGGAATTCACTAGTTTCTGTAATGGAAGAAAGAAGTACAGTGAGATCTACCTCTCCAGAGAAAGGAAAGTCCTGATATAACTATTACATACATAGTTTTCTTAAAACCAAAAGGAAAAAAAGATTAGGCTTAGAGAGTAAGATGTTTCTTACCCATTCAGTCACCTCAACACTGGAAATCTTTTAACTATATGTCTACTTTCAAACTCTATAGAGGAAGAATTGTCCTGTTTCTTATATTCTTTCCACAAGTAACATTTAAGGTCACTTTTGGAGCATTAATACTGGTCTGATAGACCTAGTAAGGCCACTCCTTTGGAGTCAAGTGCATAACTGCACTTGCCTGCTTCCAAGTAAAATTACATTTCAACTTTACATTTTTCCCCAATAAAACTATTTTCCTTAGAATCTATAGGAATGTATTTCATTGCAAAATGAAGAGAAAGGTGAGAGTAAACTTGTCTCTGGTTACTGTTCTTTAAGCAGTAAATTTGTGTGAGTGCAGAGGCAACATTCAGCAACCTAGTACCACAGTCTAGCTCTCACCTATCTCTCTCTACATATCGGTGTTATATGAATCAACATTCTTTTTTAGGTGGAAGATGTTTAATCCAGTTTGTTTATACAAAGAAAACTTCAACAGATTACAATGGCTAAAGTCTATTCAGTTCACATTTAACTAGCTAAGCAGCCATGCTAAACTAGGTACCAAGCCACAGTTTTAAAGCAGCAGGCATCCAGAATCTCCTTTCCGCCCCTCTCAGACACATTTTCAAAACATCTCAGCATCAGAATTTGCTGAGATCTTCTGAAAGTCTCACAGCTCCTTCAGGCATACAATATCAAAATGAAATCTGAATTCAGCCTAATCACACAGCCGCCTCTTTTGAAGATCTGGACCACTGTGATAGAGACACTAATGGTTTCTAGCCTGTAGATTTCAAAGTACAAAGCAAAATGATGTTATTTCTGTCCATCAGTAGGCTATTTAAAGGAAAAGGGTCTGAAATATACATCAGACACCCTTCTGTTTCCATGAGACCAAATCTGGGAGAAAGAGAACTTTGTACTTATAAAGTGAATGTATCCTAGAATTCAATAGGTAATACAGTAGAAGTAATTATAAATTTGTTTAAATATGATAGGGAAAACAACAAATATTCCAAGAAGAAATTATAACATTACTTTAAAATTATATCTTATGACTTGTACATCAATGATAAAACAGTCTGTGACAGAGACACATACTAGATTAAGCTGCCACAACTCTAAGTATCAAAAAGAACAATTATAAATGTGTGGCCTATTAATCCACTGTTAACAGTTCCAGTGAAATGCAAAAAGTTTTTTTTTCTTTTAAATCAAGGTAATTAAATATTTTCAAAGGTGCAGATGAAATAGTCTTGTACAAGGACTGTCTACAACTACTGCGAGACTAGCTACTTCACTATAAGCCATTGGAAAGAAAGAAAGAACAGTTTTGTATTTTCTATTCCAGATATTGCCTAGGTCATCTGGCGTCTGTAAAACAGAGTGATGGAGCTTCTCATCCAGCTGCAGATCCTTCTGCTCAATATGATCTGCATGAAGAGTGGCAGGAGAGGGTGTCTGTGATCGGGATCCAAGAGCAGATTGGATTGGAGAAGCACTTTCAGAGCCTGCAAATGCAATTTTTAACAGTTACCTTAAAAGCCTTTTCTATTTTCTTGAGCTACTGAAATGTTGTCTAAACATAGCATTAAAAGAAAACTCAACTACTTTTACATATCAAACCTGGGCAAGAAGATATAAAAACTGTAATTTCCCTGTGAATGGTACTCTGAAAGAAAACAAATTACATGTAGGAAAGCTGAGAGATGAACATCAAAATGAGATAGGTAGATGGATTAAGAGAGCTCTATTTTAGGTGCAGATAATTTTAAATGTGTTGGTTTTGCAGCACTTTCAGTGTTCTGAACCAGTCATGTTTCTCACCACAGTCCCTCACCTAAATTTCTCTCCAGCAAATGTTTAAGCAGAAATTTTCCTGGAACAACTTCTTTCCCTGGTTTACGGGTGCATGCAAGTTAATTTACAAATAAAAGCTCAAACCAATAACTGACAATTTTTTACGTTTAACTACTGACTGTGCTGAGAAAATCGATATGCAATGCAAGTTCTGTAAAGTTAGAGGACTGTTATTCCCTCTAAGACAGGAAAATATAAGTGTTTGAATGGCAGTGCTGCAAAAGCATTTTCTGACAATCACTACTGAGCAACCTCTCTAGGCAACTATTTGGTCTCCTCTACAGACAGATCCGAGGAGAGGGAGGAGGTTTTTTGTATTTTTCTTTTGCGCTTAGTTTCATCTCCTGAATTTGCCTAAAGATCCTTATAAAAGGCTAAGTTGGGTCAGAACAGTCACACGGCAGAAAAAGAGAACAGATATTCACCACATACTTTTCTAGCCATCAGCACATGTTAAAAATGGAAGAATTCAAAGCTATTAATTTTAACTCTTAGATAAATGTAACTGGGACCCAAAAATACTATAATGATATGTGAAGTTCAGTATTAGAGATAAACAGCAGTGAAAAAGTGAGCCTTTTAAGATAGTACTTTTCCCAAATTATTGGCTGTGAAGTGTTCTTTCTTGTAAAGAGAATGAATTGTTTAAAGAACTTGACAGAAAATGTCAGTGTTATCAGAAATTGTGGTAAACAATCTTAATTACATTGTTAAGCTGCAAAGGTCTCCATCTGCTTTAAATGGCAAAGGCAATGAAGCTTTTACCATCAATTTAAATCAACACCTCTGTGAAGGAGAGGTGGATACTGCTGCTTCACACACAGACTGCTGTTTCACTCAGCAGGTAATGATACTCCCCTCTTGCTACTGACCACTTGTTTGCCACATGCTCACAAAGATAATGTAAAATATAGACCTAAAAGATGTTAAAAGAAATTTTTTCCTACTTCTCTTCCATTCTGCTTACTAAGTGAGGGGATGGATAAAAGGAGACCAAGAGAGAGACCAAGAAAGAGTAATGGGAACAGGGAGAGAAAGCAATGGTAGGGGGTAGAGTGGGAAGGAGAGCGCTAGACAGGGCAGGAGAAGGCGAGAAAGAGCAGGTAGGGGAGGGGAGGAGGGAGGGAAAGAGATCTTCATACGGTGGAAGAGAATTGACAGAAATTGTTATGGAAAATTGACTGAACCACTGGAGTCTTCTAAGAAGCACTAAAAGATACTTCAGTGTACATGGATCCAAATTTGACAGAGAATACTATGGGCTCAACTTGTTCTAGGACCTTAAACAGCATTCAATAGTAAACCCAAATAATTTGCTAAGAATATGAAATAATGCCTACACACCAAGAAGAAATTTTCCTTCCAATAACCTTCAAAGCAAAACTATTTAGAAATAAGTCATTTTCTGAGCAGCAGAACCACCAAACAAGTGTTCTGAGGTTGAGTATTGCTGGTGTCTAATATAGCGAATTCACATTGCAGCCTCCCTGACACGGGCCTCTGCATACTTGCAATCTTCACTAGATATCTGCCTATCTTTCATAAAATTTCAAATATAAATAACATCTTTCTGTTTTTACCTTATAAGTCAATTTAGCAGAAATTAGACAATGGGCTCCAACATTGTTGGCGGCATGGAACAGTCAGACAGAGACAGACAGTGTAATCGCACAAGCATTGCCTTCTCAGGAAACCCAGCTAGTTAAATGCATGTGGCACACAAAAGCTGCCTCTCTAAAACAGTGGTCCAAACAACAAGAAGAGACATCCACAGAATCTCTCAATGAACAAATCAGTCATTAATTGCAACCTTATCAATTCAATTATAATGCAAACTTGGACAAAAATACCAAACAGTAATGACATTATTAACATATAAAAACAAACAAACAGAAAAAGAACAGGTTTTCTGCAAGGACTTTCAACAAGCAGACAGCAAAGAGAAAAATGAAGAGAACAAAAGTCAAGCTGAACAATGTTGAACAAGCTCAACAATATCCAAGAAAGCTAACAGCATGCTTCTTTCAGCAGAAAGGCCATTTTAGAAAGTGAAAATTGTGGCAAGGGAAGTAAAGATGTCTTTCAATATCTCTGAAAATGCAGAGTTTGATTTCTCACAGAGAACAAGACACTGAATGTAGGTACAAGCTTTCACAGACAAATAGGTACTTGTTCCCAGGGTCGTAACAGGAAAGATAGTAACAGTTATGGAACAAGGAGTATGAAAATAACTATGGACATCTTTACTTCTCATTTACAGAATCTTGCAAGAGATCGTTTTCCCAAACCCTGCTGAGAGAGGAAAGGACCCTATTCAATTTGGGTTAACTGCATCACTCCGTGGTTGCTACTGTAATTGTTATTCGCTCTATTTCTCAAGAAACAGTTGCAAAGTGAACTGGTGCAGCCTCAAGCTCAGCAACTGATGCTCTGAAACACTGCTCCCCAACAAGCTTACTTTTCCATTAAAACAACAGGGAAAGCACTAAAAGAAAAAAAATTCTTAAGTTACACAAATGGAAACTGATCTCACATGGCACAGTAACTAACATTTTGCATACTGAAAGCTCAGTTACACAACAGACAATACAGAGAGAGCTTTAAATGGATGCATATAAAAGAACCCCATGATACTTCAGTGTGGTGTGCTAGTTTGAAAGAGCACTGTCAAAGCCTTCCAAGGAAAAAACTCTTCCTGAAAATTAGCTATTTGACTACCAGCAATAGAAGGACACTCACAAGAGATCTAGCATATATAATATGGTAAGAATTTTCTCCCTGGTAATTGTATAGATTTTCTCATGCAGGGTTTAAAATACATTTAGCACCAAGGATCACATGGGTAACTAAGGCAGACAAAGGCTTTCCACTTATGCTATTTCACACATTACTTTTCAATAGCAATCAAAAAATAACTGAAATCCAAGAATCATCCTATATAGAACACATACTCATTGCAGAAGTTGGAACTTGCATTCTTCAGGATGGGTAGAAAATTTCTGAAATAAATTATTTTTTTAAAGCTTTTTGTTGTTGTTGTTGTTTTTTTAACTACTTTACCAGTAATAGTTGCAACTTCAGCAGACAATGGTTGCTGATTTAGACTACTTGTTTCCGAATCTATGTGGAGTGTAGTCAGACTGGCTACTTCTTGCTCCTCGGCACTCTGCTGCTGTCCTGAAATTGCATCAACGTCAGTGGAAGCTGGCGTCCCTGCCTCAGTGCCAAAGCTGAAATCTGTATGAGGAAAGCACTGTATTAACTTACAACCTAAAAATACCACTAATATAAAAAGAAAAGCCCAGGACCTCCAAGGTCCTCCATGGAAAACTTGTATGTGCATCTCCAATGCTACTAACATTTTGTTGCAAAATTTATATAAAATGTAACAGTAGAAAGTAATTGAATATTATGAATATTCTCATTTCTGTTATAAAACAGTGACCGTACTTCTGGAGAAGACATTCCTACTGCATGCCCTGTATTTTGCTTAGCTGCTCTAAGTGCACCTACATGAGAATAAAGTAAAAATAATGGAAACATACATTAAAGAATTCATTTGCAAAACTTACAAGCTGGAAGAAATATCCAAGTTGGTTGTTAAAGCACTAACTTCAAACTAAAAATATTATGGCAAATTATATTCTAATAAATAGCTTTTTCAACACTAAAGAAAAAATGTCATGCTGAAATGTAGGCTTAAATGCCATCACTTAGGTGCATAACATCTACATACCTAAAAATTGTAATTTCTTCAGTAAATTCTACCATATAAACATTATTTCTCTATTACATAACACAAAGTCATAATTTCTAGCAATCACAATGACCCCTACTGGTTGAACAAGAGTGGGAATGAATAAATAAAATGAATGATAAGCATTACGTTCATTACACAAAGCATACTAATTTTAACAAAGTATACTAATTTTACCATGATATTACATTTAGAATCTTGATTAATCTATAGCTACATAAAGACTGCTGTAAAAATATCAGAAGCCCTTCTTTAAGTTTTACCTAAATGTTTGCAAAAGAATTAAGATAACTTCCGAAATAAGTAACCTTTAATTTTTATATTTTGTGCAAAACAGATACGCTCCAGGGAGAAGACAATATTGTTTTCTAGCTTCTGTTCACTGTTTTTCTGCTTTTTGCACAGTAGTATTCCAGTGGTGTTTTGTTAAGCATACTATAAACACAACAGCCTCTCTCGGAACTCTGCTTGCTCCATTAACTTGCTAATGATTTCAGTGGGAAATCAAAATAAGCTCTCTATGCAGAAAACTGCTGGCACACAACTGTAAGGTGGGGGGTGGGGGGGAAGGAAAGAAAAGAGAAATTTGCACACAATCAGTCAAAAATAATGCTATTACTTTTGGAAAAATATACTTGCTTTCAAATTTGCGGCCATCATACTGGAAGGCGCTGAATGAGTCAGAGTGGCTGTCTGAACTGATGAGGTCACTGCTGCCCGCGCTGGCAGGTGACGTCCATTCAGAAGGCACGCCTGGGTCATCTATAGGACGCATTTGGTTCTGTTTGTTCAATGTATCAGGAAGGTCTTTAGGAACTTCCAGGCTGCCAGGACTGCTTCCTCTTCTTGTCACATTCTAAACATTGAAGAGACAAATTATTTTACAATCCTGGATAGCCTAGTTACATAAAATGGAAAAAGCAATCCCACATTTACAAATCTCAGAGTGGAACATAGAGCTCCTAAGTACCTAAACGAGAAATTGTCATCATACTACATACATAGCTAAGACTTTCCAAAACCCCACACAGGCAGAAGTGAAGAACCCATCCAGTCACAGAATTTCATAAAAACAAATTTTATTTGCACAATGAATTGTTGGGCTCGTACCTTAAGGGCTAGGATTCAGACTAGCATGTGCTACACACATGTTAGGTAAGACTGGAGAGACAAAAATAGTAAAAAAGTATATTATCTCCAGATTATGTCTAAATTACTAAAGAAAAGTTGTTAAACTTGGTTCCAGACACAAGAAAAAAACGTCAAGGAATTTTGTGTTTTCCAGCCTATAGGCTACTATGCTGTAAGTAAAAATTTGATGTATACCACAAGGAAATGAATTTACTAATTCATACATTGATTTTCTTATGACTAAACCAAAACCTTGGTATCGACTTGGATACCAAGGACAGCATATAGCAGAAATAAGGCATATAGATTTATTCTATTTTAAGTCTTTTTTTAAGCCATTTTTTTTTCACAGATGGGACCTTTTGCTTGAGAGAGAAGAAAGATAAAAGTAGAAAAGCCATTTTATGAAATGGCTTGAAATCTTTATGCATTATGAGTCTGAAGATGACATCCTTTTATACTAGGCCCAATTACTCCTCTATTCTTTTACTACCCTACTACTAATTAGAAATTTACTCAGACTTACAAGCTTTTCAAGATACAAGGTGTTAGCATTCAATAGATACAACAACCTCAAACTGATCTTACTAAGTTGGTACTCTGTTTTAAGAAGGCATATCCATTTTTGTGTGCTGGATTACATCATCAGTGGCAGTTTCAAAATATTAATTCAAACTCATCTTGGCTGGTTTTTGCTGCCAAAGGAGAGTATAAATTCTCTTGTCTGAACTATTAATAATCAATATTATTGCCCATCTATGTGAAAACAAATAGTATTACTTCTCTTTCTCTCTTATTCTGTGGCCAGCTGTAATGATTTGTTTTATTTATCTGCCAACTAATTTAACTTTTTTTTAGACTTCAAGTTAGCATTTCTGTCTTACAACTCAAGACTTACTAACAAGAACACTTGGTACCAGCAATCAAGTTTCATAAACACGAGCTCAATACAAAAGAGAAAAAAGCATACATTTGGACAAACTCTATAGGTCCTCTCTTGCCGTTTATAAAAGATGATGATAAATAAACAAATTTTTCTAATCACTTCGAAGAATCTTCTTCTGCCCCTCATTAGCAACAACTAAACTACTTGTTGACAACTTTCTACAGTAGCATGCCTTAAAATTATCATCTTAAAAAAATTCTAAACAGAAAAAAGGAATAAACAACTTTGAAATGCTTGATACCCATTCTGTTCTTCATTTGCAACTTTAAAAAAATATATTTCCCCTTCCATTGCTAGTTAATTCAACACTTATCTCTTCAAATCAGTTGTCTCGTTCTGTAAGCATTCAAGAGTAACCAGAAATTCTTGAATTAAAATTGATTAAAATTTCTCATTACAAATGACATTGCAAACAACATGACACTTCCAGACAAGTGCAGAAAGCAAGCATATGAAAAGTTGGTTCAATCAGCAGAGAACTATTTACAAGAAATTATTCAACACTTGTAAGTGAAATTAAAAAAAATGGAGGAAAAACATACACTGATGTAGTTTTGTAGTCTCTTGCACTGACTATACCTGTAGAGAACAGTACCATACTACAGCACAGTACCTAAGTACACAGCACACTGAGGACTACAAATTTACATATAAAGTATTATTCTGAAAGTGTGTACAAAGATTCTTACAGGTGCAATTAAAACCATTTAATTCAACAAGGCTATTCATAGAAACTTAGAATGCTTTGGGTTGGAAGGGACCCCACAGATCATTTAGTTCCAAACCCTCTGCCATAAGCAGGGACACCTTCCACTAAAAATGCCACAACCAGCCTGGCCTTAAACGCTTGCAGGGAGGGGGCATCCACAGCTTCTCTGGGAAACCTGTGCCCGTGTCTGACCACCCTCACAGGAAAGAATTTCTTCCTCATATCTCATCTAAATCTGCCCTCTTCCAGTTTAAAGCCATCACCCCTTGTTCTGTCATTAACTGCCTTTGTAAAAAGTCCCTCCCCAGCCTCCTGTAGGTCCCCTTCAGGTCCTGGAAAGCTTCTATAAGGTCTCGCCGGAGCCTTCTCTCCTCAAGGCGGAACAGCCCCAACCCCCCCAGCCTGTCCTCATAGCAAAGGTGCTCCAGCCCTCGGATCAATCTCATAGCCCTCCTCTGGACTCGCTCCAGTAGGTCCATGTCCTTCTTATGTTGGGAGCTCCAGAACTGAACACAGTACTCCAGGTGGGGCCTTACGAGAACAGAGTAGGGGGGCAGAATCACCTCCCTCGACCTGCTGGCCACTCTTCTCGATGCAGCCCAGGACACAGTTATTGGCCTCTGGGCTACGAGTGCGCATTGCTGGCTCATGCTGAGCTTCTCGTCCACCAGCACCCCCAAATCCTTCTCCTCAGGGCTGCTCTCAGTCTATTCTTTACCCAGCCTGTATTTGTACTTGGGATTGCCCCGACTCAGGCACAGGACCTTGCATTTGGCTTTGTTGAACTTCATGAGGTTCGCACAGGCTCATCCCTCAAGCCTGTCATGGTCCCTCTGGATGGCATCCTGTCCCTCCAGTGTGTCTACTGAACCACACAGCTGGGTGTCATCAGCCAACTTGCTGCAAGTGTCCATGTCGCCGACAAAGATGTTAAACATGACCGGTCCCAATACTGACCCCCGAGGGACGCCACTCATCACTGGTCTACACTTGAACATCGAGCTGCTGACTGAAACTCTTTGAGTTTCCACCCAATTCCTTATCCACAGAGAAATCCATTCATCTAGTCCATGTCTCTCCCACTTAGAGACAAGGATGTAATGTAATGCAGAACAGCATCAAATGCCTTGCACAAGTCCAGGTAGATGACATCAGTTGCTTTAGCTTTATCCACCAATGTTGTAACCCCCTCACAAAAGGTCACCAGATTGGTCGGGCATGATTTGCCCTTGGTGAAGCCATGTTGGTTGTCACCAGTCACCTCCTCACTTCCCATGTGTCTTAGCACGAGTATCTGTTCCATGATCTTGCCCAGTACAGAGGTGAGACTAACTGGCCTGTAGTTCCCTGGATCTTCCCTGCTTCCCTTTTTAGGAATGGTGGTTAAGTTCCCCTTTTCCAGTCCATGGAAACTTCACCAGACTGCCACAACTTCTCAAATACAATGGATAGTGACTTGGCAACTTCATTTGCCAGTTCTCTCAGGACCCGCAGATGCACCTCATCAGGTCCCATGGACTTGTGCACCTTCAGGTTCTTCAGATGGTCTCAAACCTGATCTTCTACTACAGTGGGTTGGTTCTTCATTCTCCCAGTCCCTGCCTCTGTTTCCTGCAACTTGGAGGGTCTGACAGTAACTTCTGTATTGTTTCCACAATGAAGATTTAATAGATATGAAAACACAAATGGCATAAAAAGGCATGAATCCATGTCAAAGGCAAGGAATAAGTAAGTGATATTCTTAATTCTTTCTGATTCATAAAATCCAGAGAAATATGTTTTAGTGGAATTATTTATAACATCATTGATGAGTTCACATATATATGCAGACTTACATATTGAAATGTAGGAAGTTTAAAGACTTACCAGTGCACTACCACTACGGAGTCTCTCAGCTATAAATTCATCCATGAGGTCAGGAACATTTGCATTGCTACTGCCAATATCACTATCAATAGGGTGCAGCTTTTGACTCATGTCCTCTCTATTAGCTAAAAGCAAATGAACAACTGTATATAGTAAAGAACACATCAAGATATTTTCAAAACAAAAGGTAAAAAAATTTAAAAACCCCTGCTAATTAACAGAAATAAAAAAATCAAAATTGCTAAACATGCATTTTAAGAATTTCCCTCTTTTAAAGCAGCTCCTACTTTAAGAATTAGTGCAGCTTCTTCTTCCCACTAAGCAGGGGTTAGTTGATTTCCAGTATCACCTTTAAGAGCAAGAAGCTTATAGGTAAGCACTACTCAAAGTTGTTAATGCTTGCTTTAAGGATACAGCATATATTCTTCCTCCATATCACAAAAAAATAAGTAACAAATCCTAAAACTTTTATGTAATTCCTAGAAGCTCCTTCTTCATTTTATTCCTAATGAAGAGCAATGTAGTGGAAAAAGTAAACTAGGCTGTAACATATACTAGTGACAAATGTCAATGTGGTACCGTATACAGTGGTACATGAAATGAAAATTCAGACTCTGGATGGTCAATGGTTCTGAAAAATTAATTATCATTAGTACTCATTTATCAGTGTTATATTTTTTACATAACTACACTCTTCATATTTAACTGTGGCTGTTATACCTGACTTCACAATCTTAACCTTTAAAGTCTTAAGTTATTCCAGTTCATGTTTTCTCTATGAGAATTTTTCCCTCAATCTCTCATGAGACCACAGTGTAGTTTATTGAGGCTCTGTTAAATGTTACAGATTTAAAGTAAAATGTACTTCTAAAATTAGTGCTTTCTAGATATGTCTTTTTCAGAAGTCTAGATTCTGCAGAGGAGCAAATAGCTTTTTCAAGACCCATGACAGTCACGCTCTTGTAGTGCTATGCTTTCAAAGACTGCCCTCAGGTGGCATTAACATCTTGATGCAGGATGCATTACAGAATCCTCTGTTAATCATGCCAGCATAACAACGGGAAAAAATAAAACCTACATTACTGCTGAAAGTTTATTTATTGTTCATTTCAGGTTATTTAAGATGTGAACTAAGACAGTAATATTAGAGCGACAGCCTTCTTTTTTGATAAGTCCACAGAGGTCTCATAGTTAGCAGGAGAAGGACTATTATGAGACCTTCATGAACATCCACAATTCCAAGAAAAAATAAAGCAATGAAAGATGTTGCCAAGATGTAACTGTATCCATTTTGAGGAATGAACACAGAAAAGCCGACAGCATGTTTTGAAAAGGTTCAAACAAAACCTTATGATTAGACTCACAGAGAATCGTTATAATGAAATCATTCCTGCAGTAGGAGATTTCTGTCTAAGACTGTTTTTTAAAAGTTATCTAAACTGACCTCCAGCTGTAAATTTGAGGGGCTTTTTTGTTTTGGAGGAGGAAAAGGAGGAAGAAGAGGAGGAGGAGGATGAGGAGGAGGAGGAAGAAGAAAACACACTAAATGAACCAGAAATACAATTAGTTCAACCTAGCTGGTGGAGAGCCAGGTCCTTCTGACAAACAAACTACACTCAGAGTGGAATAGCACGTTCTGATAAAATATGCATATGCCAATCATTCAGTAGGCTGAATTTTAAGGCTCTGCATGGTAGATTAAAATTCAAAACTCTCAAGGCTTAATCCTTTATTAGGTCATTTACTGTCTCTTCCTCTTCCCTAACCTGATGGTCTTCAGCAGCAAAGAGGTTCAACTAAATATCTTGAAAAGGGAAATTAGTAATTTAAAGTATGTAAGAGTAACTTATGCTGGGAGAAAAATCGGCTGTAGGCGCATGCATAACCAAACAGGGAAAGCAGTGATCATCCCAAAGCCTTTTGATTGCTTATCAGAGCTTGCTTCAGTTGCATTAAGCCAAACTGGTGCTGCCTTTCTCCTTTTGCGCTCTGCACACTGTTAGTGCTCACCTGCAGCTTTCCTTCCAAAATAGCCCATTACATGACTGTACAGATCCCTCAGTGGAGCCTCTGCTGGCATTCTGTTCTGCCTCTGTGGGGAAACATTTGCCTTCGGCTTCGAAAGAGCATGTACAACAGTTTTATAAACACCACCCAGGGGGCCCTGCTGTTGCGCTGACTCCTGACCTGATGCTCTAAAGGTGCTACGATTATGGAGCTGATTAACCGCAATACCTTCTTTTTGCAACATGGCTGCTTGAGTTTCTGTAGACTCCTTAATTTGCTTGCTGCCAGCTGAAGCAGCACTGATTGCATCTAGAGGTCTATATACTCCAGGTCTAACCAACTCCGTGACAGCTGATGAGCTGGTGCTTGCAGAGGTACTGCTGTTGCTGTTACCACTACCACTACTACTGAAGCCACTGAGTTTACGCAGTCTTGCTTTCCAAGCGGCCTCTTTGCTCTCAAGAGGATTGTAAAATTGAACCGATTCTGTAGATGGCCTAAAAGTAACGTGAACGCTATTTCTTTTTTTAGTCGTTATTTTCATGATTTTGGCCCTATGAGTTACGGTTTCGGATATACTCCTTTTAGTTGGTGACAGTTTGCTTGTGCCTGTGATGTGAGGCATTTGAAGGTTAACTTGTGCTTTAAGAGGAATTTTCTTTGCATGCATAACACGTGAGTTGGTTACTTTTTCATTAAACTGGGCACTTCTATGCTTTTCAGCTACCACTGCTTCCACAGCTAAATCTACATCAGCTTCAGTGGCTGCTTGCCTGTACAGGAATCTCTTCCCTTCTTTGCTGCTAGGACTACTTGACCCATGATCGAACGCGCTTTCATTTTGTTTATCAATATTTAACTGTCGGGCTTTATCGAGCGCTTCATTTCTTGTAAAAACGTCTACTTGAGTAGGTGCAATATTACTTATAAAGCCACTCTGGTTTTGTTCTAGGTGCAGCTCTGTGCTATCGGCTCTTTCTGTAACAGTGATGCTATTCGTGCATTGACCGGTCTGATCTCTATTTTCTAATCCATCCAGTGGTAATCTATCATTCCTATTTACTGATGTATCAACTTCATGAGCAGAAGCCTCACATTTATCTATCTCAAAGTTACCGCGAAGTTCTTCTTTTTCTTTAAGATATTCTCTCAGAGAGGAAAGGAGATCATCTTCACCTTCAAGGTCAACATACTGGCTTTGTTCAAAGGCTGTGTTTGCAAATTCTACCGGCCCTATTAAATGACAGAGATGGTCATAAATACTATCCCCAACTTCCAAGGAGGACTCTCTGCTATTTGTATCAGTGACATGGCTTTCAGTGGATCTATGCATTGAAGAGGTCTCAGTGGAACTCTGTAAGCTTGGAGCATGATGGGATGAACTGTCAATGACAGGAACTGCACCTTTGGCTCGTTCAACTGCGAATGGTTCCAGGATGTCAGAGGTGCTGCTGCTTCGTGGCAGTGGCTGTTCCTCATTTAATGCACCAAAAACTTCACTTGGAGCATCCTCACTCTGTGAAAAATGTCTGACTCGAGGTGGACGTGGAAGAATCTGAGCATCATCAATGTCTGTAGGAAAAAAGTATATGTAACATGCACAAAAATTTACATACAGAGACAATATTTATTTACTGCTACATCCTAATTATGTGACTTTAAAAGACACGAAAGTCCAGAGCCTTGTTTTCTCAAGTACAACAAAAATATTTTTTCCGGTACTAGAGTGTTAAAAAAACACACACACACATAATATCCAGTAGAGAATGTAATATAAATGAGTTAGACCATCAGAACACAGTTTTAAATGTTAACATGCATGAGAATAAAGTGAGACCACGGAACGTTTGGAAATACAGTTAAAGCTAGGGCTGTGCCAATAAGTTCAATAATTCAATCAATATTATTCCAACTAGCTTGTTCAGGAAATGGTTACCTGGAATACAAATTAGCTCAACAGTAGCACCCTTAATGGAATTTACATCTTGAGATACATACACAACTCCAAAGAGAACAAGCAAGTTTTCTGGAAAATTATAATTGTCTACTGAAGTGGCAAACTATTACTTTTTTCATAACTTGTGTGAATATATATAAATTACTGAAATATCAGAAAGGATAATATCGTACAATTAGAGCATACATAATAGAGCATGTATCTGAAGACTAAAGCTTCTAAATTATAAGGAAGAGTTGGCCCTATATAGAAAAGACAACTATTCATAATGGATAATTTAAAGATATACCTTTTTTCCCTAGAAGGATGTTTTGTCTCTTATCTTCAAAATGCAAAACTAAATACTATATGGAAGCTTACCTCCTCCTCCTCTTCCAGTTTTACTCAAGCAAATGTGATATTTATGAGAATTACCAAATTAAGGACTCTGCTACTGAAAAACATCCTGCAGCCTCACAACAGTTAACATTAGAGTAAAACCACTTTTGTTTATGAAAAATACCATTTAAATGTTATGACCATTTAAATCAGTGATTTCTTGTCTCCATTGAGACTGCTAATATGTTAGCATCAGTACAAATCATAGTTAACTGTAATGAAAGCTGCAGTTCCAACATGGATTACCTAGGAACTGTACAGAAGTATCTTCAGCCCACTTCACATTATCCTCTAAAATAACCTTGACGCTCCTCTTCAGATTTCCTGGAATGTTATAGGAACACTATACTATTAAAATACTATCAAATCACTGGTGTAGGCAAGACTTAAAAGTATCTCTTACAGACAATTCAACTAATTGCAATAATTTGAGCTCTCTCTTGCAGTTTTGTTTTTTTTTTAATTGGAAAGGCACTTGAACAGTAAGGTAAAAATAGCTTTCTCAATTTTCTGTTGGTTTCTTTTTGATAGAACCCCTTATTCCCAAGATTTATTTTTTACTACCTACCATTTAAAAAGTTGTAGATATGCTTTTAAAGTCAGGAATAACAATAAAGAGCTTAAATGAACAACAACAAGAGTTACTTGCCACAATAAACGGACTTACCTTGTTCTATCTAGAGGGTTTCTCTTCAGGGCTGCAATGGTGAATTTACTTAAAATCAGCACAAAATTTAAGCCCCTTTCCCTCCCATAAATCTGATGTACTACTGCCAGAACAAATATTTCAGATTATTACTTCATGGATCTCTACACCTCTTTCAGTAATATTTAATAATGATAATCTGAAGTCACCTTAAAAACCTGTTTTAGAGTGCTCACTATTTTCTGAGAATGTTAGAGCTGGAGCTGGATTTTCTCACATTTTCCTTCTGAGTGAAGCATACAAACTGAGGAGTGAGATACATCTGTACTTAATTAAATGGATGTGTTAGAAGGAGATGAAAAGTGGTATTTCTGTGCTCAATTTTTTAGAGAAGTTAAAATTTTAAAATGAAAGTTTGACCTGATACAAAGTTTACTGAACTATAAAGAAGCTATTAGACAGGAAATAGGGAGGTATATATTAGAAAAAGAGAGTGGATATCCAAGCTATTTCTGAAAACAAACAAACTGAAAATCATTGTAAATGGCACAATTTATTATTCCTTTCCTCTCTCTTCAGTTTTGATAAGCAACAAATTTCTCATCATTGTTCTTGTTTAATTTATTACTAACTATATGAGTTAACATCCTCTGAAATGAATAGTGTCTTTCTCTAGCTGGAGCTGTTATTTCAAGCTCTCTATTGATTTAGGCAGAGATTAACATGGGTTACACTTCTATAGTCTCAAAGTTATTTCTTACAGCTGCAAAAAAGGATTCAGTCAAAAATATGTACGATAATCTTAGTTATGAGATTAATACATGTACCTGTGATACACCGATCTCTTCTTGAGCCCTCAATATGCATCTTTCATACCTTTTACAAACTCAAGCTTATCCAAAGCAGCAGCCTGAGGACTGCATACTGTGCATGCATTGCAGTGATTATGATTTTCTAGGATGTTAAAAACTACTGGATGAAGAACTCCAAATGCACACCAAGCAGCTCCACAGATTGAAATAAATTCAGCTAGATTTATTTCAATGTTGATCCAGTATTAATTTCAGGTGCTTACATATGCATAACAAGCATAACACAAGTACACAAACATTTTCAAACAAATGTGTAGTGCTTGTGCCAATAGAGATTTATTTTTTGTAGAACAGAGGAGGAAATTAAGGAAATGAAAAAATATACTGTTATTGCAACATCAGCATTGAAAATACAGATAGAGTTTAAAAACACAAAGGAACAGCTCCTCCACAACCACGGCTCATCCTTCCACACAGGTATGCAGTCAAATTGGGACACCATCAGTTCCTCAGGAGTTTTCACTAACTACACTGCAACTGGGCTCCAGAAGGCTGGGTATGTGACACTCTGCACGTACTCAGGAGAAACACTGGCCTGGTTCCTAATCTGCTACAGTGAGGAAGAGACTGAAATTGGTAGTCCTAGTCAATCTCATCCAATCACAACCTTCCTTAAATCAACCTTACCTTTCTTTTTTCTACTAGACGGCAGAAAGAAAAGGTAGTTTTTCAGCATCAAGTGGGAGACAGATATAATAAAATATGAGCTCATGGAGAGACACATTCTGGCAAGACAGCATGACTGCAAGTAGAAGATTCCCATAAAACATTAGGACAGGATTATATTTCATTATGGAAAGTTAGTTCAGAACATGTTTTGCCTCTCAGCCTTCATTTTGATTCTTTTATAAGAAGACATTTTGTGAGTTTCTGGGATTAAGTAATAATTACAGCCATATTGACATTAAAATTATGATTTCTCTGTATTTCAACTTAATGATTACTTACTGATTAGGGAGCATGGTTGTAAAGGCATAATATACATCTCCCTTTCATGTTAATACTTCCTTTGACTCTTTTAGTCACAGTGGATAAGGAAAAAGTCTCTCAGCTGCAAGTTATTAGTCTGCCATTGTGGCCCACTGCTCCACTGCTTCTGGGAGTCTTGCCTACATTTCACTGACACTTTTTTTCATAAGTGGTCTTGTACCTGAAAATCCTCAATAGGAGCAGGAATGAATCATTACTTCACTAGTTATCCTATAAACATGTAAGATTAGATTTCCCATGATAACAGCTTAAAAAGAGTTCTTCTTAGAAATATTGCAGATTTGCAACCATTGCATTACACCAAATCACTTTACTAACTAAACACTTAAAGCATAAATTTCCACTTCCACTTTCTGGATCCTATTTGAAAAGTTGCAAATATTCTGCATATGGAAATACAGTAACTTAGAAACTACATGAAGGAATTACCATCTTAGGAAAAGCATCCTCGATGATGCTAGATGACTAGATGTCAATATTGTGCTTTTGCAATAAATTTTGTTAACCTACTAACTGATCTTGAAACAGAAACATTATGTCTCAATAAATAACAAATTATAGTGGGGTGTTGTGCCTTCCCCTTGAAAATTAACATACTGTACTGTACATAAGCTAAAGGTTTTAGCATAAATGCCTCCTTTTGGACTACTTGTCAAGATTCACCAGTGATCAGTGTGTCAATCTTTCAATGAGGAGCTTCACAGCTAAATAGGAGCTGATACTACTTCAGAAAACTTAAGATTAGGGTATCCTGTTCTTTTGGAATAATTTGAAATATCCTCTCCTTTGAGTTGTGTTGGATCTGAAAGTCCATTTGGATAACAGGGATATTCATATAATCCTGACATAAGAGGAAGGGCTCTCACAGCTAGCTAAACATCATTCATTACCTAAAGTGCACTTACGATAGAAACAATTTGTTTACTTCCCAAATTACAGGCTGTACATCTGGACAGAGAAGGCCTTCAGAAAATAATACATTAATTGTAAGAATAAAATGCAAGGAAAATGATAAAACACCATGTTTAAAAAAAAAGGGGGGGGGGGAAGAAAAAAGAAAGAGAGAGAGAGATATTTAAAAATGCAGAAAATTAGAAGAGCAAAGTGCACTCTGATCCAGTGGATAATTTTTCCTTTACTCTGCTACTTCCCCATTAACACACTAACAGTTTGCTTTTTGCACTAGAGTTTTTTAGTTTTCTGGCAATGTTCAAGGTTCTTGGGCACATCATGAAACTGTTGTGTTCACAACATCCATCTGCTGAAGAAGACACCAGAACCAGGCAGCGCTAGGACTTTTTCTATGTTAAAAGTGCAAAGGTCTGTAAGATTTTTTCACATTTAAGAATTACATGGGTCATGAAGTTTTTGCATTGGATGAGTGTCAACAGAAAGGATAACAGCAAGAGAGCCATCACGTTTGGGACACATTAGAAGAAAAATGCTAGCCAGGACTTTTCAGAAACATGGATGATAAAATTGACTGCAAAAGCACTTTTGCCTTCTTTAAGACAGGATGATTAAGTATCAATGACTAAATGACAAAATAATAGATCACTGTGAAAGCCCATTCCCTTCACCAGGTGCTCTTAAGAATTTCATTAAGAATTGACTATTTCCAACAATGCTACAGCCAGGTAGGATCTATTTCCTAATGGGTTGTTCGTGTATCATTCCTATAAAAAAATCCCCAAAAACTATTTTCTAAGTTCTAATAATTCATATCTCAGAAGAGATATCCTTTGCACTCATAAATTTATGAATTTATTACATATAATTTGTAATTTATTATTCTTTGTTTGTGGTGTCAAGATCTGCATTCAAATACTTTAATATTTTTCATTGTGAAAGTCCAGTATCTCTAGAGTGGGTTCCTTGAACTTTCCTGATTCTCCATTTATGTTTTCAGATTGAATAGTAAGGCACCAAGTTTCTGTTTCACAACAAGAAGACTTAGTTTTGGACACACATTAAAATACGATTATGTAAATACAGTTCTTGATACTTCTTGTGTAACAAAGGCAGGTAGGAGAGATAGAAAAGAAAAGAAAAAAAAGAAACTAACATATCTTCCACTAAAAAAATTATATCTTATATTTGTAAACAGCTTTGCCTATATATATCATCCTCCCACTGTGCTTTCATTTTTTTTTTCACTCACTGAGACAAAGGCATAGCATGATTGTCAGCCTTACATGCTACCAATTTACACCTAGGTAATATCTGGAGCACAAGAAGAAAAACAAAAAACATTATCTGTAAATGTTCATGCATGCATTTTTTAAATCTGTGCTAATTCTCAATGCTGAACCTTTTTCTTCAAAGAAAAATATCCAAAGAAAGCTACTGTCACACTTCTAGGCAACCACCCTGCTGGACCAAACATAATGTTGAGAAAAGCTACAACTCTACAAAAAACAGACCATTTGGAAAACAATCCCAAAATATAACACTTCAGAACTCTAAACTGCATAGATTTTTTAAATGTTTTTATATATTAATGAAAACCAAGCATCCTGTAAAGCTTATTATATGATACCATATACTTCAGACAATCTTTCTTCATGGGCGCCAAAGTATATCTTTGTCGTGGTTGTTCAGACACCACCTATGATGCTGAATTCAAAAATTTACATAGAAAGATGCGAATGGAAAGTCAAAGCAAAATTATGTTCTTCATTTCCCTCCTTCACTCATCACAAATAAAAACTCTAGATTAGTTGTACTCTATAAGTAGAAAGATGCTATATTACTGCTTACCAATAAATTGAAAAAGCAAGAGATTTCTCTAATTTTCACTTTTGATAGTAAACATTGGCACAGCACTAACTTCCAACAGTTCCAGAATGAATTGCAAAATAGCATGGTATTTTACATAACTCAAAATATTCATTCTTAAATCTCTTCCCCTCTCCCCCCATCCCCCAAGTATTTTTACTTTTAAAAATTTAATGCTTTAGCAGAATTTGAAAGCAGAAGGTTAAAAAAGTGATAAAGGGGGTGCAGAAATTAGCAGAGGTGGCACTACCTGAAAGCTCATCAGAAAGGGGAGTGAGAACAATATCAGGCAAGAAGGGTTTGGAAGTATGGATCAGAACAGGAGCACTTTTAGCACTGCGTATATAGGCCGATGGCAGAGCACATTCACCAATGGATCGGCTTCTCATGGCTTTAAAAAGGAAAAGAAAGAAGTGGGGAAGGAAAAAAGAAGAGTGACTATAATGAAAGGCTTGTGTCACAGAAAAAGCAGCAACAGAGAAAACAAAGATAAAAAGGAAGAAAATTCAAAAATTAAAACATTTCAGCACGGCAGATATTGGCAGAGCTGTAAGAAAGAAAAAAATCAGTGGACACATAAGACATTTTGAGTTTTTAACTTTTATGTAAAGCAGCAACAATGCCTTTTTTATGACAGTTACAAAGATTTTGCATTCAAAATCAAGAAACTAATGAATACTTTTTTTCCCATTGCATCAGGGGTTGAAAAATCAAAGTTAAAGTCACTCCACAAGCACTCAGAACTTCAAATTTTCCAACAGAAAAAGCAACTTACACTACATTTGCATTTTTCTAGTTTCCTTTGGTTTACTCCTGAAAAAAACATCTCTGAATTTTACACATACCCATACTCTTGAATTCACGATTCTCCAAAAGCACAAGGAAGAAATTACCAGTTTTGTGTGGAGAAATTTGCAATACAACTTGTTAGAGTTCCACATTAAAAATGAAATGACTGAAGTGAAATGGTTTGACAACAAAAAGCATTAAATTGTTTCTTATCCATAGGGTCTCGCTTTTACTTGATAATGGATAAATCTTGCTAAACTGAACCTAATTCACCTGTTTATATCTCTCATCCTGCGAACAGTCCTACAGAATGGAAAACTTCCATGAGAATTGTGGGATCAGGATCAAGGTTATAGCTGCAGCTTTTCTAATAGATATAAAATGAATCTTTATGACATTTACTTTCCTTTGTCAAAGTAAGACATAGCAAGAACCAATATTGCATTCAATCTCAAAATATACTTGAAGTTCTTCAAAAAGTACTATTCATTGTTTTAAGCAGCTTCCTTTTCAAGCTGTTGCAAATTTGGTAACTTGTTTTAAAATAGTTGCTGATAAACTTCTTTTAAGGAAACTTCAGTTCATCTTACATAAATATTGTCAGTACAATATTTAATCAGTCTTTGAACTTTTCTATATATATTTTCAAAACAACACGGAATATAGACTCAGAATCTTAGTGCTCCTGATCTGTATGGGAATCAGAAGTACAAGAATGGAGTGCAGTGAAAGTTGAGCACACCACACTTCTAAATGGGGTTAAAAAATTGTCCCTAACGGCAACATGCAGATAACTTGGGTAGGTCAATGTACATAGAGCAGAAAACACATTTGACAAATGCAACACAACTTGAGTGGAGTCTTAACATCAGTTTGAAAAAAACAATTCAGAAAGACAGACGTTTTCAAGACTGAAGCTATTCTCTATTAAACTGAAGTTTTTAAGACAGAAAACAGTTTTTTTTTTTTTAAAAAGGGAATTATGTGTAAGGCTTTAATATATCTTTGTTTAAGACATACAATAATAAAATTCAGGATACAATGATAGCTAGATGCATTACATTAATCATTGTGCATCTTAAAATGAATATAGGCAAGAGAAAAAAGAACAAGCTACATAGTAAATCTTAAGGGTCTTTTCCAACCTAAATGATTCCACGATTCTAAATAAACCAAACTTTTGAGATTGGATATTGTGTTGATTATAAATTTTAACATAAAGTGGCTCCCGTAATTTGACTGGATCTTTTCCATTGTATTACATTGATACTAGCAAGGGGCGGGGGGGCTGGCAGAACAACCCATTTACAATTTGGAAGGTGGAAATTTTACAGAAACTTTTGAAGGAAAAAAATGCAGTGTATTATTATTGAAATCAAAATTAATTTTGAGATGCTGTAAAAGGAAAATGTGATTTCAGTGAATTATTTTAAATAAGATGTGTCACATTCAATTAAGTAGTTAAGCAAAGGCAGACTTAATTAATAGAATGTGGACTAGATATTTGACAGTTTATAAACTTCCACTATTGTCTATAGACAAAAGTAGAACAATAGGTTATTAAATTCTGTCTAGTCCAATATTTTTATAGGACTGGAATATGCTGCTAAGTCACAAATTCTGTCTCTAACTCTACCAAAGATTTTTCAACCCATATGCATATCATGTTTAAAGGCCCTTTTCCAATAATTACTTTACATAAGTTCAGGCTAAAAATGTACACACTGCATATCAGAAAAGCTGTGATTTTTATTTGAGTAACACACATACACACAAATTTGGTGCAGCAAAAAATGTGTGCTGGCATGAGGATGGCTCAAAAAATAGAAGTGCACAGATGTACACAAAATGTGTACAACATAAAACAGACGAAAAAGAAACCTCAGCTTTTTCTTACCATGAAATATCCAACATGCACATCCCCCCTACTCAGATATAAAGAGTATATTACTCACCATCAAAGGAAATATACTACAGATCAGATATCATGCAACATATCTGAGGTCTGACTCAATTCCAGACTTAGCTTGTGGAGCTAATGTTAAACTGAAGGAGAAAATCTGACCAGCGAAATGTTCTATAAAAAATTTTACTTATTGTGACTTTCAACCAGTTTTTATATTATGTGACCCTGTGTTAACCAGCACAGATCCAAGAAGCATCCGAACAGCTTTCTTAGCAGACCTGAGACAATAACAAGTAACTGTTTGCAGACAGTTGAGACATATGCTTTTGTAATATAGTATTCAATAACATTTTTAAAAACTGAAGAGTTTGGGATTCTGGCTCAGGAAACTCTTTTTGAGCTTTTCATCTTTTAAAATTATTCTACTAATGCTGTGATGCTTGTCCACAGATGGTATTCTATGATATCAACAAAGCTGAAATTTTAAGAGGTTACAGTAATACAAACTTGGGCTTATTAATATCAAATATGTAAGATAATTGGAGGAAAGGGAAAAAAACATGGAAGCTAGAGTACAGTGAAACTAAAAATCAGATTAGTTTGCTGCTAACCAGGTCAACATATAGCTTGATTAGGATAAATTTCAGTCATTTTAGGGCTAACATCATACAAATAGCAATCTTTCAAATAGCAACAAAACAAAACCATTAATAAATCGACCAAACAACATAACCCTCTGACAGGATATCTGAAATATTAACAATTTGGGAAAGAGAAATTTTAACATGAGCTTTACCTTGTTAAGACAATTATGATTTAAAACAAAAACACTGCAAGAGCTAATCACAGACTATCTACAGAGAAGCAGAAATTACATTTAAAGCATCTGTGATACACAAGGAAAACTAGTCAACTAGGTGCTGTCAGCATGAGATACAGGAAAAGCTGTGAAGCATTTGAACGTGTGAAAAAGACAGGAAATTTTGAAGTAGTGACTTCATTTTCTCACATGTCTGTACTAACTCTCTCACACCAACAAAAGCCTTATAAAAAAAAAATGGAGAATTTTGAAAAATATCTAAATAAAAACTTTGACTAAATAAACTCTGTGACTTAAAAAAAAATAATTGCAAATATTTTTGGAAAAAGAAAGAAAATGTTAATTTCTGAAAAGCTAACACAATAGCATATTCAACTGCCAATATGCATCTTCAGTTTCCAAAACTGTGTCAGAATGTACCCGCTTCCAAGAAGTATTAGTGAAGCAACAACACATAATGACCAAAGCCACCACTACTACAGAGAGTAAAAAAGCAAGAGATATTCCTTAAAAAGGTTCTTCTTTCAAATAAAAAAGTAAAATTGCTTAATTTTCCTTCTCATAAGGGATAGCACTGAGATCATCAAGATGAGACAACAGAGTAAAGAAATTTGTAGTCCAGTTCACGTTAAGATATCCTAAGCAAATCATATGAACTTCTTTTGATCAATCCACCTAAAGCACTCTTTAGCATCACTCATTTCTAACACAGGAAAGAGTATCTGCAAGTAATAAAGCTGAGAAACAGATGACTTCAGAAAAGAAGAATTACACACTTTTGTGCCAATCTTTCATTAATGCACATTTCAGGGTGTAGTAAAAGACAACACAATTTATAAACTATGCAGACATATACATATTCCTCACACTTTCCTTTGCACAGTTGGAAAATACTCAGCCTATTTTTGTGAACAGTTTATGAAAACACGCACTTAGAAAGCCAATTACCCACCTATCCATACCATTGCTCAAACCATTCCAGCTTTTTTCTCTTGCATATACACACAACAGTATTATTTTTCCAGTCCGTCTTAAGCATGTGATCAAACTCATTGAGAATTAACACATCAACTGCAGTAATTCGCAGTAACTATAGTTCTAGTAACCACAAGCTATTCAGGTGCCCTCAGAGCACATAAGGCTGCATATTTTACATGTTTAACTAGTTACTATAGATAGTATACTTCTGTGGAAAGATGTTATCCACATTGCTACAAAAGTCAAGTTATTAATTCTTTACCATTTCTCAAATGTCACTTATATCAGCTTTTAGAGATACATACCAACTGTTTTCTGCCGTACTATGCTTCTTGCCTTTTCTGTTCCTGGAGAGCCCGTGGTTGTAGCACTGCGTTGTCTCATTGGTGCTTGTCCAGGCTGATCACGGCTCCAGCCTCTAGAAAAGGACTTATCAACGGAAGATTTGGGGAATTCATGCCCAACTCCTGCAAAAATACAATCGTAAGCCTATTCACTTATATTCTGGTATCACTAGATATTTGTGGTTGTGTCTTTTCCAAGAGTTTTAAAGCTGGACAGAATAAATTACATAATTAAAGCAAGCATGACTTCAAAAGCTAAACAGCTCGTTACTGATTTTTAAGTATATAAACCCACTCAGCCAGCGTTAACACTGAGGGATACTCAAACTTTTTTGGAAGTGTTTGTGCTATTCAGCTATTGTCATTTTCTTTTCTGACCAGTCAAGTGCAAAACCACAAGGAAACTTTTCCTTTGCTGTTCTTATTAGACAAAACACACAAAATCATAAGTTACAGACCATTAATATTGTGGGGATTTTTACAAATATTTTTGTGACATTTGAGGAATATGAAATAAAGATGATAAAATATTTTCACATGAAATGCTAAAGCAAAAAAGTGGGATGATGGGCTCAGAGAATAAGGCTCTCTGGAAAGTCACAAAAATATAATATACTAAGATTAAAAAAGATGGAACAAATTTACATTTGACATTTATATTGAAGTAAATAAAGCTAATGTGAGGAGCTATCAAAAGCAACTGTATATAATAAAAAAGTTAATTAAAGAATATTTGCAATGTATTTTCCTTATCCACATTGAACTCATATAATCCAAAATAATACTGGATAAAAAATTAGAATCATTAAAAGAGCATCTTGGAAAGTGAGCCCTAGTACAACATGGTCATTATTATTAGCAAATGAACAGGGACAAAGAAATTTGGCATAATTTGTATGATATTTATTACTTCCAAAGCTGGATTTAACTCTGCAACTCACATTTAACAAACAATAGAGGCCTTCTCTGGAACTCTGTTACTGAAGGCTAACATAAACTCTTCTCATGTGTCTCTGTATGGGTAACACAGATGACTCAAAATGCTTTTTATGCCTATATTAAAATAGCTATACATATTCTTATCCCATATCAGATTTTTTAAATTATTTTTTAAACAATGTCTTTTGCAAGAAAAAGAAGAAAGTTGTATTGCATAGGAAAATGAAAACATATGGTCTGGAACAACCTCTGAGGGTCACCTACAGAGAAATGTATTGTTGTCCAGTTGTCACACATCAGAAGAACAAAACAAAAATCTGAATAATGCCGCTGCCCAAGATGAGAAATTTGGAAATGTGAAATGTTTTTAGCAAAAACAGCCTACAGGAACATCCCCTTTAAGAGAGGGAATCCATATACAACACTTCTCACTGACAAACCATAGGATATTTGTAGGAAGTACCTTTCCTCAGGATTGACTAGAGAACAACATCAATCAGAACACAGAAAGATTCTAGAAGTAGACTAGAAATTACACTTTTTTTTTTTTAAATCTTTATTACTCACCCTAAATATAATCCTGCCTCTCACTACTAGGTCTCAAAGGAGATTTTAAGGAGAACAGTATCGTTACCCATGTTTTAGAGAACTGGAAACAAAAATAGAAGCGATTGCTCACGGTCACATGCAGAAAGTCAGTCTCTGATCTGGGAAGAGAATCCAGGTTTTGCAACACTCAATCCAGTCCTCTATCCAGTAGGACAGATTTCCTGTACCTTATCAAATCCAGAACTGTACCATCATAAGCAAGTAGCCACCTCCTCTCCCCATACTATGTCCTACAGAGTATTTCCTGCATTATTTAGGAACCAGTTTACAAACTGGTACCATTCATATGGATTATTAAAAGTATCCTTTCTCTTAAATAGTCCAATAAGGCCACTTCGACAAAACCTGTCTTCACTTAGTGATGAATTAGTACCCAAACAAAACCATGTTCATCTCACATTTCATCTTCAAACAACGTCCACTGGATTTCAGGATCAATATTCCAATTGTGCTTCCAATAGCCACTTGCTAACTAGTTAATTTTTAGCAGATGTGTAATCTTTGTTACTTTAAAGAAGTTATGATTGGGACTCAACTAATTTAATTGCTTTGATAGAAGGAGAAAGGCATAACCCACTACAATGTAACATTTTAGGTTAGATTCCACAGACCTTTAAGAACTACATTCCAAAACCTGCCTATTTGCAGGACTGAATCTTAACATGAGAATTTTGTGGTGGTTCTAAAAAGCAGCCTTATCCTAAAGAAGCTGGATTATTTCAGGTGACAGAGATGCCTAATTAGGTCTACTAAAAAGGCCAGACCAAAGTTATGCTGTGCCCAGCATTTCGTTATCCCAGCTCAAATTCAAATGATGTGTATACAGTGTTGTCTTACCTTTGCCTTTGTGTTTTTTCTGCTTCTGCTCACTTAATTTATCCAACGGAAGATCATTGAGGTCCAGGCTATACAAGTTTCTAGCCAATACTTTAGTTAGTGTCTCCATTGTCAGTGACCACTCAGTGGCCAGCTCTTCCCAATATGTCAGTGATGACATAACAGATAGCAAGTCATCCCAAAGTTCTCGAGAGATGTACACATTTAGATTTGCTTTGATCCAAGCTACTATAAGAGTCTGAAAGAAGAAAGTGGGAAAAATTGGGTTCTGAACATAAGATGGCAAATGTTACTGCTTAAGAGGAAGCTTCTAACTGCTGCAGAAATTTCTGTGTATTCCCAACGTTCTTTTCCTCATCAGTACAGACAGACTTTTCATGAATTATCAAGTGTTACGTTAACATGGGCTTCTGTCGTAGATAAAAGAACAAGTGGTTTGACTCATGAAAGACCTTTCAGTATCTTACAAGTTTTGCCAAAGAGTTTTGTAATGTTGTTCTCAATTAGTTCTTATTACATTCATATCTCCTGTATCCTATTTTTTCTTCCTCAAGAATCTGGAGACTTTACAGATCCTATTTAGAGAAGCCACCATAATAGCCCTCTGGAACTATAAACTTTGAAAGGATCTGCTATAGCTTACTGTAAGCACTAAAAAATTAAGTTGGTTCGCATGGGTGGCACAGAAGATTTTGTACTGACTGGAGCTAATTCTGCAATGTAAGCAGGCTAAAATAGCACACGTTACCAGTTATCCCACCTCAACTAAAGGACAGCAACTTTTTAATTTCACAGCACTCCAAAAACTGTTGTCACAGTGTCATTAAATATAGAGTAGAAAGTGACAAATGTAGTCAGTTCTTTAACCCACATGATTCACATTATCTGGGTAATACGATCGATGGTTTAATAAGACAAATCAGCCAACAGTGGTTGTTGTATCTAATCTCTTGGTCAAATTAAGCTGAACTAGTTAAAGTGAATTTATGTTTAATTGCCTGGAAAAGAGGTCCTGCAAGTCTTCCAGCTAAAGTGGAGTTTTTTCTTCCTTGATACTGCAAGAAAGTCTGGGGTGGTATTTTCAGCACAGATTCAGTAACCCTGAGCAGCACAAGTAGCATCTGTTCCCTGTAAAACAATATTAAACTTAGAGTTACTGTTTTGTTATACTTCTCTATATACCAGGATACTTTTAAAGATAATAACCAAGCTTGATTTGCTCAAACACATTCCAAACAAGATACAGTGACTACAAACAGCCAAACTTGGTTCTTGCAAAAGAAATTATTCCAGTCTTTTCACACTTGAGAGTGAGGAATACCTGTCACCCTCTAACATTTTCTGCCAGGTCATTCAGGTGCTATCACTTTCAATGGCCTGAAATTACAGATAAAGTTTTAATTATATTTCCAATTTGAGCTTTTACTTTTTTTCTTCTTTTTGGTATGAATGACAGGTTTTGGCAACGTTACAATATCATTAACATTCTTCATTGATTATTTTGTGTGGCACAATCTTTGCCATCACAGTCTAGAGTCACTTTACAGTCACGTGAAACTAAGGAAAAAATTACCAAGCTAGCAGAACCTCTTTTCTATTCTTACTCCCACATTTCCCAGTGGCTAGCCTTGAACTGACTCCTTATTTCCATACAAAAGGAGACAAGCTTCACATGACACATAACGCCAGCTCTACTTACCCAGAGTTCAGGAAATACTAGTGGCAGGCTGAATGCAAGTCAAGTTAAAATGGAGTAAATCAGCCATTTGAAATCCCCTTGCTACTGCTTCCTTGCAACAGAGATTGGTGGCAATATACTACCTCATTAAAGACAGCTATTTAAAGGAGAAGGGGAAATAATATAAATGGATTGGAAAGTGGGGTCCCCTGTACCTGCTAGGCACCTTAAGCACCCGAAAAGAACAAAACAGTTAAACAGTACACGGACTGCTGTACACAATTACAGATCAAGAGCAACCCACATCTGATTATATTTGTTATCCATGCTTATCTGAGGATTTTTTTCTTTATTTTTAAGTAAAGCTGTAAAGCTTCATATGTTTTAATATTTTACCACTTTGACACATGAGCAAAATGCCCGGGAAAAACGTCATCAGTAGCTCCTTAGTTGTAGTCTGCATATCCTAGCTTACTTCTTTTTTCACTGAGAGCTAAGCTGCCTCAAACTACTTATTACTGGCTTTAATGGAGCAGATAACCTCTTCCCCTGTTGTAAGTTGTCTGTGACATTAATGTATTTACTGATTTAGAGAAACTGGTTCACATAGTCAATACCACTCTACTGTGTTTACTACCAAGTAAATTTTCACATTTATCTTGTGAACTAATAATCTAAGATAAAGGCATTAGCATTTTACCATGTCTTCTTGTCCATAGTTACTTGGACTACCATGTGACGGTAGATGTTAAGAATGCGTTTACACATATCCGTGTGTTCATCCAGCAGAGCTTTAATTTCATTTGCAGGTTCAAGAAAGAATATATTTGAAGAATTTATTATAAAAACCTGTAAGCAGAAAAGAGTGGATGTTATGAGCTCGAAGCACTTCAATGTTTTTAGAAATTCAGTTGATAACAGGTAGATAGGAAGAGAAAATCTACGATTTAAACAGAAAAGGCTGCATGCGCACTCAGAAGTATATATTTAAATATAAGTTAGCTTGATGTGATGATAAAGCAACAATAAGACTGATTTTTTTCCCTGTTTTTTTCTACAAAACATATTTGTGTATTTTTGCTCTTATAGACAGATGGTACAACAAACTACTCAATACAATTAATTTAATATTATGGACAAAAATGTCCCAGTAAAGAAGTCCACTGCACTAAAGTTGCACCTGTAAGCCAACAGCTGGCTAGTATAATATATGCTAAACTACTTGAAATAGTCCTGATACCCAGTGCGTGCTTCAGCATGACAAGGCCTGTGTTATGTTCTAGGAAACTAAAGCATTCATCCCACTGTGATCAGTAAGGCTCACCAAAAGCAGGAACAGGAGACCTTCTCCAAAGTGTTTGACTTCAGTGGAGAGTGAATTAGAGCTTTCAGAATTAAAACTATGAGAGTAAAGCTGGCAAGGACACTGTGGGAGTTACAGGAGCTACTACTGAAGTGTTGTTATATTTTTATGTAAGTTTAGGAAGTATTTGAATCACGGTGAGCTGTAGATTTCCAATTATTTTTTATTTGTCTTTCTTAATCCACATTTACAGGAAATAATTGGTTCTACAGTTGTAATTTCCCTCTGCTGAGTGCTTTGGATTGTAAAAATTAAAAATTATTAGTATGCAGCTTTACATTCACGAGCCTCAACTAATGATCCTACCCTACTCTAAGTGCCTAAAATTAAGTCTGTGCAAGAATTAAATGGGAAAAAATTTCAAGACAGAAGTCTCGGATGCTTGATTCACAGAAAAAAAATCCAGTGTGCTTCCAGGTCAGGAAACCTCTCAAATTCAGACGTGCTACTGAGTTAGAACAATGTCTTGACTCCGCTTTGAGCTAAGAAAAGATATTTGCTGGTCAAATGAACCTTTGCCTACCAAACTGGAAGAATCTTCCAGACATTCTCAGATGTGTAAAACTTAGTAATACATTGCACATATAAAGATACTTCACTGTTTCTTTTCTCAGAAGCACTTCACATTCCAAATAGCCATTGTATGCAAAGATAATGAATTTTAAATTATTGTAACATGTTTGAATTTAAAAGTTATTTCAGTTACAAAGTTTATTTCTATATACAACAGTGTACAGCACAATAGGAAACCCTATTGAGGAAATCATTCAAGCTGTGGTAAAAATAATGAGTTCTAATTAGCATGGTCACCCATGGTAAAAGTGCACATGGTGGAGTGGCAAATTTACATGTCTATTTTATTTTGTTAAGAATAACTTTTCTTCTGCATAAAAGAATAGAGGCTAGAGTCATATACACACCTATATGTATGTATATGCATGCACATATTATACATAAAATGCACACATTTTAAATGACCTTAAGAGCATTTCAAAGACCCTCAAATTATACATGCTTGATTTTCTATATCCTCAACTTTAGTGAAGAATCTTGCTGAGCATTTGCAATTAACACAATTTCTACCCTGCCAAATTTCCTAGAAGCAGTTAGAAAACTTCTGGTAGTTAACTCCTGCAACTCCCCCATTCCTTAAGGATATCACCAAAGTAGAGAGTTCTGGTGTCCCATCAAATTTTTCAAACACTTATGTACTCATCCAATCTGTAATTCAAATAAAGATTAGAAAATATCCCTGTACACTTTATTATTCAGATTAGGAAAACTGCAGGTTTGGATGTCTTGTGTGTGGTGACTAATAGCTTAAAAGAAAAAATCTTCTAAGCACTAAATGGTTAATTAGAGTGGTTTGAAGATGTGGCACTCAAATGAGAATTATTTTTTCTGTGATGCAATGCACAGCAGAATGCAAGTCCTGATGCAAAATTAAAAGATTTTTTTTTACTGTTTTATCCAGCACTTGTGTATACATTATCCTACTTAAGGTCAATAAAGATATAGTGAACCACTGTCATTATTCTAACACTATTTATCATCATACTTTTAAAATCTAAAATAATTTTTAAAATTCAGAGATGTTCTGAAGCATGAGTAGTATTGTCTTATATTCCACTCTTTCTGTACTGATAACAAGAGCTTTTTTAATTAGGATAAAAATTAGATATAAAGTCTTTCATACCTGCAATACTGACTGTACTCCAGCTCGTACATTTTGCTCCTCAGCATCCATTTCGGACATTTTATGCAAAGTGTCTTCGTAACAGCCACTTCTTGCCCAGTTTGAATTTCTGACATGACTGGAGTTCATCCCTTTTTCCTGAAAAAATTTTTTTCTTAAAATCCCATAGATTTGTAGACAGGTATTTTGGTTTTATATTAAAGGAAAAAGGATATAACAGATATTAAACAATGGTAGACAGATGTTTAAGATGCATCTTAAAGATACAACTATATTTTAAGAAGTTTGTGTCAATTATTTTAAAGTATCTGGGTGAAATAACTACTATTTTCCTCATCCTTTTATTTGTATATAATTTTTACACAGCTGAAGGTTGGCATACTGCATAATCCATATCTCAAGAGCAGTTTTATAAAACTACATTAAATTTTAAATGGAACTAACCACATAAAAAAAAAATCTATAGATAATGGATCAAATTGGTAGCGCATTCATGCACTGTTTAATTAACACTGATTTTCCCCAACAGATACTCTGACATCAAATTAAACCACATATCTGACAAGGAGGCCACTTCTCTAAGAGTATGCTCTGACATCAAATTAAACCACGTATAATCTGACAAGGAGGCCACTTCTCTAAGAGTATATCAAAAAGATGCACAAATATTAGCCAGCAGTATTTTACCTCTTCTCTTTCTTTTGCTTTCTCTGATGAATTGTGGTCAACAACATTTTCATCACAATCTACCGTTGTGCACTGCAATATTTCTTCAGGTTCTTTCATAAATAAAGGCTTGTCCTCTTGCTGAATCCATTCCTGATATACTTTTACCACTTTCCTCATGGCAGCTGCTTCACATATTGGCAACAGAAATGCCTGTGAGTAGAAAAAGGAACAAATAAAAAACCAGTTACAATAGCTGAAATCAAGTTGGGCTCTGTCTTGTACAGATTCCAAGGGATAAGTCACTGTAGGACCTTAACAAACAAATGACTCCTAAACCTAAGTTTTTTGCTCACTTTCTTCATCTCTAAATGGAAAACACGAAAAAAATGTTTTAACAAGAAAACTTGTAAAGAAAGTACTTTGAAAATTTCACTGCCAAAAAGAAACATATGAGAGTCCATAGACATATATCTACTCAACACCTAGCCTGCTGAAATTAAGACTCAAATGTTCATCAGAAGTATGCAAAATGAATGAGCAGACGTTTCTATTACATCTTCCATTCAAAGGATTTGAGGGAGTGGAATTAAACCAGTTCTAAATTACTAAGAAAAATACAAGTGACACACATTACTGGTTGTCATGTATCTTATTTTTAGCTAAATGAGATTTTACAAAACAGTATCTTTAAAAAATTACTCCCTGAAAAGATTTCAGAATTATGCTTTCAAAAATATGTGCATTTGCATCAGTGTGATGGCTGATCAGTGCCCTCTTCAGGAGGTTTTCTGTATCTGCTGTGCTGGTAGCAACTAGTCACAGAGCAGAAACTTTTAATATTAGTCAGATTTTAACTAACTAACAATACATTTACCACAGACATTTACCACAGATTGTCACAGAGCAGAAACTTTTAATATTAGATTTTAACTAACTAGCAATACATTTACCACAGACATTTACCACAGATACCCTAATTGTACTACAAAAAGAACAGATAAACTACACTAACACATAGTTTTATGGAGTCCATGGCGTAAATGTTGAAAACTCATTGCCCTTGTCTTTAGAGGAGTGCCCACTTGACACAAGTGGTATGTTCTCTCTCTGGAAATAGACATTTCATACCAGAATTGCATTAAAGAGAATTTTGCTGTGTATTACAGAATTCAACTGACAAGCTCATCCATCACACACTATCACTCATCAAATCTAACAGTCTTCTGCACGCCCATATACATTTTTTGTACCCTTGAGTATAAAATGCAAAAAATCTTTTTTTCTACAGACAACATTCCCACCATTCAGTACGACTAAAATCTCCTCCTGACTGGAATAATTTAGCCCTAATGTTTTAGAAACACTACAAATATCTGGCATATTAGAAACAAACTTACACTGAAAACTTCTGGCTAAACAATGACTTAAATGAGACCTCATAACCACACATGAAATCCAAATAATCTACATAACTCATGGAGTGCCTTGTGAAAAGAACAGAAATTTGCCTTTGCTGTCCCTTTCACTGCGGGGGTGGGGGGAAGTTTCCAAAGAGACCATCAATAATTTTGACTCTCTATTCAATGTCTCAGACTCTAAAACCTTGAGTGGCAGCTGAATTCGGGTAACTCCATTATCTCCTTCAGTAATGTGTCCAAGGTCTTCAACACATTGGATGTGGATAAGCTTCTGACATTTATTTGCCTCATTTGAAAATATCCATTTCATACAGATATGCCAAAGTTTTAAAACTTTTTTAGTTTTCTGCTGTTTAAAGCAGTTAGTGTAATGCATTTCAATTAAAACTTAAGTGTATTTTTCTTTACTATTATTCAGAAAAATCTATTACTCTTTTGATCTATAGCATGAAGCATAAAGAAAAATCTATCCTGTTCTATTCTCCTACACTGAACTTAAACCTATGTATTTTCACATTATAAGTACAGACTCCATATTCTGGCATATGTTCTCTGTTTAAATTTGTTTAACAGTTTGAAGTTGAGAAACACTATTTTGAGTATGTTCAGCTAACATTTCTGGTTGCAGTAGAGTCAGAAGTAGAAGCTGTTACTTTCTATAGCCATCTGTCCCACTCTTCTGATGATCACTATCAAGGTAAGGACAGTCACTTGCTCCTAAAATAGCTCTTTAACTAGCTGCAGACTCCCACAGGAACCTTATCTTAATATGACTGGTTTTGGGCTCTAATAGCTACAGCATCAATGTATGAAAAGATCAAACATACCTGTCTATGGGGAACTGTAAAGTCTAAGCTAGATGTTGTTGAACTGGTTATTAGATAAATAAAATTAGAAAAATCAGGAACCAAGGATATTCTACACAGAAAATATTTCAGAATTTTAACTTTTCAATTCTTAAACCTTAAAGGCAAGTTGATAGAAAAAACCTGTACATTTATAAAACGCTCTGCTTAGCAAATACCCTCGAAAGAAAACCATGACAAAACAATCGTTTACAATATAATAATCAAGGTTCTTGCATTCTGAAGAGGGTTCTTTACCTGTCGAAAAATCTCAGTTAGAAAATTAACGTTGCTTCTTTTAGAAGAAAAGACTTTCCGGACAATTTCAATATCAGTTAAATGCTCTTCATCAATACTGCAGAGGCTGGAAGAACTTGGTTCTCTCTCTGTTAGAGTACTTGTATTAGAGTGAGATTGTTCTGTCTCTGCATTTCTATCCTGCTTATCAGTACTGTCATTTTTGCTGTCCTCCCTTGAAGCCATGTTAGCAGCTGCTCTCTGAAACAAAAATTAAAGAATATTCCACAGCTCATTTTTAGTACAACAGTTGAACGGTATAATTTAAGTTATACAACAGCATAATTTAAAACAGTAGAAAGAATTCAGGGGAAAAAAAACAGGATTCACTGCATTTCAAGGCTTATGTCTATTTGATTAAAAACGAAATAGCAGAATTTGAAAAAAAAAAAAAAAAAGAGCAAGTTTTAAAATGTTAAAAAGTAAAACTCGCACCATAGTAAGTCTTTCTAACATGAATTCATAAGCAGAAAATTTGTTCAGAAATTCCTTTTTTAAATTCTTCATTAGTTATAATTATTGGAGAGTGCACACTGCTGACACAACAATTAAGACAAAAACATGAAAGCAAACACTTTTTTGTATACTTGATTTTACCTGAATATTCTTTGGCACATTTTCACCTTCCATCCCAGGAATATGAGGTCCTGTATGAGGTTTTGGCTCAAGCCAGAAAGACACCAACCATCGAATGACAATAACACGAGCCTTAATAAAAGGTTCCTTTGTGCAATATATTGCCTCATTGGTTTCAGCATCTTTCTTAACCATTACATAGTGTGGCTTTGGTCTCATTTGCGGTATATCTGTAAGGAAAGACAACACCTTAAAAATACACGGAGAGAGAAAACTCTATTGAGAAATCCTAAACCCATAATTAATACATGTGAACTTTCAGAGGTGCTGGGTTTTTTTCCATTTTTACTGTTGCAGAACTTATCCCAAGATGTGCTGAAACGAACATGATGGAGAAAACTTCCAAGACTAGACTATAATACATCAAAGAGCAGCAATTTTGTCCTGGAGGGAGACAATATTCTTGGTCCAACAGACAGGAACTTGTTTCTGCTATGCAAAACCTTTGTTTTTTATCTAAAAGTGATTTCTATAGCCTTACATCCTTGCTTTTTTCCTAAACAAGTCAACACATTTCTTTTCATTGTTTTCAGCTCTTTTTAAGCTATGTGCTATACTCAACATTTAAAGATAAACTTCAGCAAACTCACTGCTTCACACTTTCATTGAAAACTACAAAGGAGTTCTAAGTAGCAAATAAAACTTGACTAGAATATGGCTTATACAAGGAAACTTTTTATATAGAATTAAGATATTGCCAAACTTCTTACAGAAATGTTGATAGTTGTTGAAGTTACTAACCAACAACTTATGTAACTCATACAATTCTACAGTCTTTATAAGAGTCTTATATGTCACTTATCCCCTACTACCAAACCTACTGGGAAAAGCAGATGCAGCTCAGATGCAAGGGATCGCCATATTTCCTAATGCACCTCTAGAAAGATCTCTATGTTGGTGTGCAGCAATACACAATAAAGCAATCTAAGTGATAAGGGTCATCAGTTCGTTACTGATACAAATCCCAACATCTTATCATGGCTACAATGACAGCTTTAATTCCAAACTGTATTCTATTAGCAGCTGCAATAAACACAGACTCTTCTGTCCCTGCAACAGGTGAAAGATGAATAGAACAGAGAAATCCTGCTCCAAAGCCACGCGAGTTTTGCGGCTTCATCTAACACCACATCTGCACTACCTCATTTTGCTGGACTTTGCTGCCAGAGCAAGGGCACATGCACCTTCCTACGGCTTTGCTGAAAGATGATCCTGCGGCAAAAGCTTCTGTATTGGCTTGCAGGGAATGTAATGAGTGATGCGCAGCAGTGGGCCAGCTGTCAGGAACTGTGGGTATTTGGGGTCTATAACCTACAATCCCTTTTTCTCCATCCCATGTTCTACATGATGGTTCAGAACTCTTTAGCACTTCTGGCTCTCTACTGGGCTAGTGACAAAGATGCTGGCAGTGTCACCAGTATTCCTGAATCTGCTTCAGAAAAAGCAACAGTCCTTAATAACCCAGTGAGGATGGAATTGACATATGCGGTAAAAACATTATCAGGGGTTGGGGGGGGGGTGCAGCATTCGGAACACATAGTTTTAAAATTGTGTATAATACACATTTCTGCAGGAACAAATATCAAAAGCCCAGTTCAACTCCAGCCGTGTATCAACACTGCAAGAATGTCAGTTCTGGGTTTCACAACCGAGGACAGGGTGCAGGAGAGCTCTACAATACCAATCATCAGCCTGAAGCAGCTACAAACCTTTTGGGTGCAAATGACATTTCTCTGGGAGTGGTGTGCCAACTGTGTTCCTGGTTCTAGAAGTGCAAGTGCAAGATCTGCTCAGATACAAAAACTAGATGAAAATTTGACTGAGGGTTGATTATGACGCGCTGTCAGAACACACCTTGCTGCTGGTGTTTCAGTATCATGATTTTCATCTGGTGACAGCACACAACAAAAACAAAAGAAAGGAGGCAAAAAGTGATAGATTGGACAGAGATGTTATTGCAGCACTGCCTCAACTCTTCTATAGCTTGGGGAACATGAGTAAGAGATATGTTCCATGGTTTTACAAGCAGAAGGCATTTCAAAGATACTGATGGTGGAAGTCAAAAAAGATGCAAAGTAGTCATGCTGAAGGATGTGAAGTTGTTCCCCAACTCTATCTTCCTAATGCAAGGTCAAGAGTTGCTGTGAGGGATCCAGCATAACTTTTGCCAGCTTATGGAATCATAAACGAAGAGGAACAAATCTGGATAGCAATGAAGAAACAATCAGCTTCTATCCAGGCAATTAACTTATGACAGCCATACATACTTTTAGGCACTTGAAGTGAATACAGCCAACCTGCCAGACTGCTGTAAAGGTTTCCTTGTTAACATTAAAAACACACAATGCAACATCCAGCACCAGCATTGAGGATATCCAAGCTAGTGTATCTCAGTGTCATTTCAACAGCCACGCACAAAAGTGATAAATTCACCACGATGCTGCTAAACTGAGGAATTTTTCCAGAAGAAATTTTAAAGATACATCCATTATTTTTAGTGGAAGCATTCTTTTTAGAGGAAAAAAACCTATGTGACTCTTGCATACCATCCACATAAGTAAGAAAAGCACAGAAGACTTTTTAAAAAGCTCACAAAGACTTTATTTACTACAAATAAAAACCAGTATATTGTTTTCATTCTGTTGAAGGCAGCAGGTTAGTAAGAAAATTTAAAAATTGATATATCTTAAACAAAAGCATGTTTAACAGCATAACTGGTGAAAAAAGGAAGCAAATGCCTGGTAGCGCAGTATTTAAAGACGCAAAAATCGGTTCTCTCTGGTATCTATTGGCATTCAACAGGGAGTGAGGGTTGCCATACTGGCAGTGTTTTCAAAACGAGAAGACATTCAGTAGACATGCAGTAGCATGTCTTTGCAGCACACTATATCCTTCTGTAGTTTCATTATATCCTCTCTCTCTATTCCCTCTCAATTGTATTATGTGCTGAAGCTGCTTCTCAAATGTATCCTCCTTCAGTCATTTCTTGTATTTGCACATTTCTGTTCATCTTGGAAGTAGGTGTCAAGGCTCCAGATGAGGACACTGACGTAAAACTAAAGCAAACCAGAAGCTTATTAGATTGACTCAAAGAGCACAAGAGGAAATAGTTCTTTCCCTTTCCCCAACTTTCCATTTTTCCTTTCTGTTTTGTTTTGGGCTTTCCCCACCCTCTGACCTTCCACCTCTGGGAACTTGATGTGAGCTGGTGCCAAAAAAGGCATGAAGCTGTAGGTGGTAGAAGACATACACAGAGTAGAAAATTAAAAGGCTAGCAAAAATGTAGTTGTAATGGTGGACATTTGTAGTTTTGACCACGCTTACTTTTTAAGGCAATAAAGGGTTCAGAAGGAATGAAAGCTGTAGAAAGCTGTAGGACAGCCCACTTCATTGTCTCCCTATAAATGAAGCAGCTCATCTATATGGCTTGGAAATGACACAGAAAGGCACATTACTATGATGGAAGAAACAAGGCCCCTGGAATCTTACTGCCACATATGTAGTTCTTACTAAACAGTTTCTAAAGACTATCTTAGAGAATCTAAACAGATGTTAAAAGACATTCAAAACAAAACAAAACAAACAAACAAACAAACAAACAAACAAAAAAAACAACCCAAAAAAACAAACAAAAAACCCAAAAAATCTCATGGGTTCTTCTAAGCCTGTATTGCTCTTCTAAGTCTGCAATACTCAAGCCAGAATTTGGAGGAGGCACAATACTAGCTTCTTGTAACTGGAATGCTCAGTGCTTGTTCCTGTAACTGACACACTTACCTGAAAATCTGCCTTAAGAAAAAAAAAAAAAAAAACAAAAATCTCAATCCAATATACTATCTCCAGTAAAGCCCCGTATCGATGCTTGCTTACTAAAACTACTGGTTTGATTTTTACCTCATGACTTCTCCTAAATTAAACATTAGACTGGTAGCATAAGAACTGTTTTTAGTAGCAGGCTCAGTGCTCAAGTTTGCCCTGTTTTCTGCCTAGATGCTGTCAATTTTGTTCAGAATAGGCACAGGATTGTTTTCAAATAGGGTGGAAAGATGCATCCAGAGAAGAACTCCTTAGAGGATAAAAGGCTATTCTACTTACCAGTGTTTATGTTGTTTCACTACTGTATTATTCCCCAAATCCTCACCATTGTTGCTGACTTTGCACAGTTTAAGGCACTGACAGTTTTGGAGATCTGTACCCCTTTTCTTGTTCCCCATTGCCCTCTTCTTTACTAAGGCCTTGGAAGTATCTTGTTTATGTTTCACAGAAAAAGAGGACTACAGTAACACTTTTATGGAAGACTCAATCAAGATCTTCACAGAAAGATAAAATATTGTTTCCTCATTTCTTGTTCAAGGATGTCAAGCAGCAGTAGGTTTGCTTTCTCAGCACTGCTTACCATCCCTCTTGTAGCTATTTTATCACTGAACCTCTTCAGTATCTTCACACAATTCTGGTTCTATTGTTGCTTACGGCTTGATTTATACTGTTTCTTCTCCCATAGGTGAGAAGGTCCACTGTTTGTCTTTCTCAGGAGAACATGGTTTTGAAACATCCATCTCTGAAGAAAGCCAGAATCCAAATACATGTACAGGGACTGGCAGAAACTAAGACCTTTTCAACAAACTTCCCTGACAACTTGATTTTAGAATATCAAATTGCATCTGGAGATCACTACTAATCCTTGTGAGATGCTGCATCAAGGGGTAAGAGGAGCAGTGAGGTGTTTGTATTATTCAAGTAACGAAATAGCAGCTTAAAGCCCATGTACAGAGTACTGCTTTGCAAACAAGAGTCTTGAACTCTGTTGGCTTACAACCAACACGTGCATGGGTGCACGCAAACCTGAGCTAGCAAAATCAAGATTTGCAAACAACATTCTAATTTAGAATGGGCTAAAAACCTCTGAGTAAAATTCTAGTTAGGTTTGCTTAGCAAACACCTAAAATTCCACTCTCTATATGGAAAGGTATATTCTAGCACCATTAGCTTTGAATATTGTGTTAAAACCCAGCTTCCCCTTCCTACTGCAAGCTCTTGACAAAATACCGTTGACACAGAACCATAACTAACTTTGCCTTATCTGAATTACGAGCAAGCACCGTATGACCCGAACACCAAGATTCTGTACAGATAAAGCCGAAGAACAGCACACTAATACCTTTTATCTCAGTAGTAGCAGTTTCTCTTCAGAGCACAACTTAAATCAACACCAGAGGTCACATTAAAGAACTGCTTTACAAGAACATTTAATTTACCTGAATCAGGTTAATATAGCAAGATTGACTCTAATGAAAGGGTCAGGTGCCTCCACGAAGATAAAACTGAAAACCATGAACAGGAACCATAACATGTTCTTTCATAAGAAATACTTTTGGAGAATGTTCTTTATGCGCAACATGACTCAAGGAAAAAAATGCTTTGCTGTACTCTGTATTAGAGAAGATACAGTGATTTTATCAGCTGTATTAACACTTACCAAGTATAGGGCTGTATAAGCTGGTCTCCTTACAGATGTTTGGGAAAATAGAAGGTAAGTAGTATTTCTTAAAATTTGAGAATAAAAATGAAAATCCCTTTTCCTGGTTTTCTTTGTTCTTCCATTCTAAACTCTTAACCTTAAAAAAAAAAAAAAAAAGTTGGATAAACCAAACATCTAGAAGCAGAAGAGAAAGATGACTGATGTCTTCTTTATAAGTTATTTCTCTGGAACAAAATCATATGCATTTTAATAAACACTTAGAAAGATGGAACAGAAACTAGCTAGGAAATATCAATGAAACAAAGACTGTCTTCCAAAACACTGCTTCAAAATGAACTTAAACACATCAAATACTGAAACCAATAGAAATAACTGTTTTTATGGTCATCCTGCCAAGTCAGGAAGTAAACACAATTTGATTGTTCTTAATAAAACTGTTTTTATATTTCAGAATGTTTTATAAGAAAAGGACAATTACCCATGGTACTCTGAACATTTGTTCAACAATTTCTTTCAACACATTCTGACTAACAAGTGTCCATATATTAACTATAAGAGGTACTTGGATTCATTTGTGTGGTCAGCAATATGAAACAAACAAATCTGTCAACCACAAGCAGCAGAAGGTACAACTTTAAAGTTGAATTACACAAATCTACTTTCATGGATCATGAGAGCTAAGCCTTCCCGCGTAGATCTCGTGCCGGCCTCCCTTGCCCCCCACCCCCCCAGTTACTGCTGCACAACAGGTATG